ACTCCCCGGCCTTGGCACGAAGCTTCGGGCTTTTCTTTTTGCTCTTTTCCTCAAAACGAAGCATGGTGGGGAGCAGTTTGGGCAGTTTGCTGTCCACCTCGGGATGTGCAGCATAGTATGCTTTCAGCTTGTCGAACAGCCTGGCACACTTCTCTTTCCTGCTGTTGCCTGGAATTTGTTGGTCTCGATAAGGTAAAACAGGAAACTCCCTGCCCAATCTGACGATGTGCCGAGGTCTGCGATGTGAAGCCAGTCCAGCTTAATCGTGCTTGTGAGCACTCCTGGAATGCTGAAGAAATTGCTGATCATCCGGCCTTCCCGTGGCTGCCTGAGCAAGAAGTCCATGTGCCCCAATCGCTCCTGCCTTAATCCCATGCAGGATCATGCTGAAAAGATTATAAACGAACCAAACATTTGAAAACAAAAACTGGAGAATTTGTATATCTAGAACCCTCCTCGGAGGAGGGCGAACCTCCTCCCAGAAGGTGCAATATATATGGAAAGCCTCCTACTGAGGAGGCTTGGGCTCGAGAGATCAATCTGTCGCGAGAAACCGCCAGGCAGCATCTCGGGAAACATTCTTGACATCGGTCTTCTTCACCTGGCACAACCAGCAGATGTGGTAGGACGACCAGCTGGGCACATGTAGAGCTTCAGCATGCTCCAATCCCCCCGCAACTCGCCCAACACACATGCCATTCCAATCGTGCCGTCGGGGCTCTGTCGCAGGATCTTGGCCCGGTAAGCATCCGTGCTGTTGAATGGGGTCTGACAATAAGCACTTGAAAGACCAGCTGAGGATGCCCAGGATGGCCTCGTGTGTTGCATCTTTCTGTTCGAAGGCTTTAGGGTAGCAGCAAACCGGAACTCGCCAATCTCTCAAGCCAAGAATGGAAAGGGTGACACACTCCAGCGATTGACTGCAGTCGCTATTAAACGGGACAGCATCGATCCAGAGTCCAAGGGCCATTGAGGGAGCTGCCAAGCCATGCTGCCTCTGCACTCGGTCAATGCATTCTGCAATATCTGGTCGACCCTGGAAAAAAGCAGGTCCTTGGGTCTGCTTTAAGTCCTCCACTGTGTTGACCTTCAGCAGGGTGTGGATGACCTCGTGAGGCAGGAGGAAGACCATCTTACCCATGAAGCGCTTGTTTGTCTGCTCACTGTGAAAAGGAACTTGGGCTTCATATACACTGGGCCATTTCGTGTTCCTGACTGCCTTACGAAGCAAGTCCCTGTTGATATTCTTGGAGGGGGTCGTGCTGAGCTTGGCAATGTCTTGGACATGCCTCGCCCCCGCCAGCTGTGCATTTTTAGCAAGCCTGGCACTCCTCTGAGAACTCACCTCGTTGGACACTGCCATCTCCAGACAATCCCTTCGAAACCTCTTGGCTTTCGGCACCTCGTTGCCCTCAGGATCAGGCTTGCCTGTCCACATTGCTGGCACGATGCTATAGATGCAAGCCAAACAAACAGCAAAGATAGACGGCAGGACAGCGAGTCCACGTCACACTGAAGATGTCGCCGAAGCCCTCGCGTACCAACAAGGGTTCAATGCTAGCCAGACAGAGAGCAGCGGTCTCCGAGGCAGGGACCCAAGCGTGGGCACCGAGCACAGGAGGATGGCGAGAAAATTCAGACAATTGAAGACCCGAAGCCTGCGGGCTCATCGGCCTCCCCGGCGAGATCAAGCGTGATCTGCTCGAAGAGAGGATCCTTAGCGCAGCCATACTTCAGACACACAGCTTCCGAGTCGATGACACCCGGGGCAAAGCAAGAAGGCTCACTGCTGGGAACCATCAAGGCCGGATGTGCCTCGTCGAAGTTTGCAAATTCCGGCTGACCCGAGGACTCCGCAGAACATGAAAAATCAGAGCCACTTGCACGAGCGACCGGCAGAGGTTGCATAGATCCCTTCATTGCAAGACCGGAATCATCAGAGTCAGCTGCATCAGAAAACTTTTGGGAAAACACGAGACGAGCTGCCTCTGGATCTGAGTCGCTAGAAGAGTCATCCTCCATTGTAGGTTCCAAAGGCGGGACTTCACAATCGTGGTTCTCTGCAGGGGGCAGCGAAAGAATCGGAACATCCGGCGAAGATGGACACGCCCCACGTAGATGCGGTCTCAGCGGTCGGAAGCCCGCCAGGACGGCCTTGATAATCTTCTCCGGACCTGAAGCGGAGCTGCCACATCGTCTCGCCCATACAACTCGCTCATCGAACGAAGAGAACCTCGGTGATGCCCTTGGAGAAGCCGGAGGGGCTCCTCAATCAAGAGCTGTTTGGAAAAGCTCAGAAAGGTCACCTTCAAAGAGTGCACCCCGATCAAGGAAAGATCTGGGCGTTTCTCTGCTGGCGTGCCCGAATAGCAGCGCAGCAGCAGACGCCGAATCAAGATCAAACCCTCATTGCGAGACAAGGGGGCCAGCAGCAGAGGAGACGACTCGTCGGGGCCGAGGTCTGCCAGCACAAAAATCCGGCTCGAACTCGGGATGAGCACACTTCGTTGCTTCAAGAGCCCGTTGGGGCAGCGCAAAAAACACCGAGCCCCAGGAGGTCGCCGAGCAGTTTTTGGAAAGAAAACCAGCAGCACGCGCTGCCCACGGCATGGACCTCCGGGTAGTTTTGGTCCGAGCAGCAGAGCCGAGCACAGCACCCATAAAGATGTAGATTTAGATTTGGGAAGGCGAGCTCCACAAAGCGTCGCTCCATCGCGACGATGCGAAAACGCACGTCAGAAGTGCCCCACAACGCAGGCGATGGGCTGCAGACGCCAGCACATCCAGCACTTGAACTTCGAGCCAGATAACAAATGAAAGTGGCAGGGGAGCCGATTCACGTCTAGGAACAGTCTCAGTAGCGAGGGCATAGGCCGAAACCGCCGGAGTGTAAAGAATCTGCCGCAAAATTTCGAGCACCAATTTGTTGGCCACAAAGCGCAATGCCTTGATCCAGCCCTGCGCTGAGCAAAGTCGACCACGAGCATGCAGCGAGAAAAAGTCCAGCAGCAGAAACTCCGGTGGTTCAAAAGGACATGTGGCCTCCGCAAACGTCTCCCATTGGAGCCACATCCGCAAATAAGAACAAAGTGTCGATGGTGCGTTCATGCGTACCAGACGAGCAAGATGCGCATTGGCCTGAGCACTCTGCAGAAGTCCAGCAACGAGTTCGCTGTGGGATGAAGCTCTGCGTGATAGCACCAACCAAGCACTGACCTGCTCGTTCATCGCGTTAGTCAGGGCGTCCTTCATGCTGCAGGCAGCACTCGTTGTCGAAGACGCAGATAGCCGAGGCACCGGGAAGGCTGAACCCACCAGCAGAGGAGCTGCAACCGCAACATCCAGGGAAGCCTGGCCTCCGGCGCGGCAGGCTTGTACGGCATCACTCGGGGGCGTAGCAGTGGCGCACGCAGCGGTGCTTGAGATGGCAAGCCAACCGAACCGAGACGAGGTCGAGAAGCTCTGTCACTCCCAGAAGCCATCGGAGAAGCTGCAATAGGAGCAGAGGGTGGACGGTAAGCGCTGTTGAGCTCGCCACCGTTCCAGCGCGATGCTTGTCGGATGGCAGGTCCCGTGCCAACAAGTGCTGCAGGATTGACGGAAAATCAAAAGAAAATCAAGCAGCACAAATGAAGCATGCGACAAGCAAGGAAAATTCAAGCCCAAAAATACCTAGAGCGAAAACAGGTGCCTTCCGGGCCAACCGCCCCAAACAGCCGTGTTTCAAAAACACAAACCGACGACACCTCATCCTGGAGGCTATCGTTCTGCCGATACATCTCATCCTCAGTTGCGGAAAACTCAGTCCTTAGTTCTGCAAGTTCACTCCTTAGCATTTCGACATGCTCGTCGTAGTTCAGGTATGACCCGAATTGGAGCAACGCTAACTGCTTATCTCCCTCAACTTCTTGGAGGTTTTGCTCCCTCAGCTGTTCACTGCGTTCAAAACTTTGTTTTGCACTTCTGTACATTTGTGCTTCGCTCTGAAAGGTGGTAGTCCCGCATCCTTAACTCCTGCATCAGCAAACCGGCGTTTCTAGCGCTATCGAGTTCGCAGTTGGCAAGTGTTGCTTCGAGGGACGCGACAACCTGTCTGTGAACGCTGTTAGCTTCTTCTTCTTCCGCATTTGCGAAGTTCTACTCAGCTGTCACTCTCATAGCTTCCACCAAGCCTTGGTGCCTGCGTTCAGCTTCAGACTCTAGTAAGCTAACTCGTGCACGAACCTCATCTTCTGACAGGCCTATGTTGATACCTATGTTCTGTTGGAACTGTTGCCTATGGAGATGCAAATGCGCAGCAATAGGTGGGGCAGCATCAGGGTTAGTGGGCCTAAAAGGAGTTTCTCCTGCACCACTGAAAACATTGATCCCAGGGCCACCAAGATTGGCTAACCCTTGGCTTCCCAAGTTTGAGAGCTGCTCTCCTTCTGCTGGCAGAGATGCCATCTCGTCTTCCCAGTCGCTGGAGGCGACCACGGATGTCGCAACTTCAGTTGGTACCAGTTCGGAGGAACTCATGCACTGATTGCACGCAAACCCAAGGAAACCAGCTCTACGGCTGATAACCTATAGATTCAGGTTCGACCACACCAAACAGAGTATAGTACCGTTAAGCCATGAGAACTGAGCGCACTATTTTCTCAGAGGGCTTTGAGCGTAACAGCAACAGGTAACACACATCGGTATGCACAACATGGAAAACGAGTACGTTATCCGAAGATACACAATAAAGCATCCCTCAACCCCAAACCCTAAAAAACACTGAACCCCAAACCCTAAAAAAAAAACCTAAGCCTAAGCCCTAAAAAACCTAATCCCTAAACCCGAAAGAAACCTTAATCCCTGAAACGCACCCTAATCCCGAAACGTCCTAAACCCAAAAATCCCTAAACCCTGAAACCCTAAACCCTCAAAACCCTGAACCCTAAACCCTAAATCCTAAAACAAAACCCTAAAGAACCCTAAACCCTAAAGCCCCTAAACCCTAGAAGCCCTAAGCCCTACACCCCTAAAACCCCGCAACTTCAAACGCCGAAAACCCTAAACTCTAAAAAACCCTAAGCCCTAAACCCGAATAAAACCAAACCGAAAAAAAAAACCTAAACCCTAAAAAACCCAAAACATAGGCATGTTCTTTCAAATCCATCACGCGAGCATTGTATTTGCAAATGGGGGGTGGCTGCGCGCCCCCCCCAACCCCCCCGCGTTCTCACGCGAGTGTTGTCTTCGCAAACGGGAGGGAGGATTAAAATCCCCAAACTCCAAACCCAAAAAAACCCTAAACCCTAAAACCCCTAAGCCCTAATAACCTCTAAACCTGCAAACCCCGAAACCCTAAACCCTAAACCTTAAAACCCCCAAAAGCCTAAACAAACCCAAAAACCCTTACAACCCCCAAACTCTAAACCCCAAAAACCCGACAAGAACACTGCAAAAACCCTAAAACCCCAAAAACCCCCAAAGCAAAACACCCCCCTACAGCCAAAAAAAATCATAAACCCGAAAAACCCTCTAAACCAAAACCCAAAGCCCTAAACCTTAACAGCCAAAAAAGACCTCTTAAAAACCAAAAAACCCGAACAGTCCCAACACCTTGAAACCCCGAAACCCAAACCCTCAAGAAAAAACCAAAACTACACCCCAAAAACGAACCCTAAACCCAAAAAAAAACTTCCAAACTTTAGAGATAAGACTTTAGACTTTAGATTTTCTTTGGCCTTCGAGAATTCTTTCTTAAGGCCCCTTCAAGGTTTAACCAATCTCGTCAAACGAAAAAACATCAACATCCACAGTGGCTGGTTTCTCATCGTGCCACAGACTAGAGAACGAAAAGCCAGCATCCTTACAAGCGCACCGGACAGTTAAACCTCTTCTTACGAAATCCCGCTTTGCAAGGCCTGCCGTGAACACTCCTTTGCAATTTTTAAGAATGTTTATTCCCAAATCAAACTTACGACGCGCGATCCTCTTGTTTCACAGAGAAAACAATCAAGAACGTGTAACGTGGAAGTTGCTCAGATTCCCATCAATCTCATGCCTGCTTAATAACACTGCACCAAAAACACAGAGCATGCCTCATGTTCGCTCCAACCCTTGTGCAACTGTCTCACTCACCTCCTTTTTTTCTTGAACGCGGGGAGATCTGTAACTGTCTTCGGCCTCGAGCCCGAACGGACGGGCTAGGCCAGTTATCTCGAAGGAAAGATGGGCATCAGCTTAGGATGACCCAAGGCAGAATATGGGTGGTGTGGGTGGGACAAGAAAATTTGCCCCTGTGAGTTCACTGCGCAAAATGGAGCCGAGGTTTGCCAACATGCATGCATTCCAACATTCCAAGATGCAAACAAAGATCCTTACAGTTTAGCACATGGTAAAACGCAACGTCGACGGCTGCCCAACAAACGCAGCCTTAAGTTTTTGGGGAATAAGGCCCTATCAACACGTTGACCGGTAACCTTATTCACAAATCAAACTTACGACGCGCGATCCTCTTGTTTCACGGAGAAAACAATCAAGAACGTGTAACGTGGAAGTTGCTCAGATTCCCATCAATCTCATGCCTGCTTAATAACACTGCACCAAAAACACAGAGCATGCCTCATGTTCGCTCCAACCCTTGTGCAACTGTCTCACTCACCTCCTTTTTTTCTTGAACGCGGGGAGATCTGTAACTGTCTTCGGCCTCGAGCCCGAACGGACGGGCTAGGCCAGTTATCTCGAAGGAAAGATGGGCATCAGCTTAGGATGACCCAAGGCAGAATATGGGTGGTGTGGGTGGGACAAGAAAATTTGCCCCTGTGAGTTCACTGCGCAAAATGGAGCCGAGGTTTGCCAACATGCATGCATTCCAACATTCCAAGATGCAAACAAAGATCCTTACAGTTTAGCACATGGTAAAACGCAACGTCGACGGCTGCCCAACAAACGCAGCCTTAAGTTTTTGGGGAATAAGGCCCTATCAACACGTTGACTGGTAACCTTATTCACAAATCAAACTTACGACGCGCGATCCTCTTGTTTCACGGAGAAAACAATCAAGAACGTGTATCCCAAATGTAGAAGTTGCTCAGATTCCCATCAATCTCATGCCTGCTTAATAACATTGCACCAAAAACACAGAGCATGCCTCATGTTCGCTCCAACCCTTGTGCAACTGTCTCACTCACCTCCTTTTTTCTTGAACGCGGGGAGATCTGTAACTGTCTTCGGCCTCGAGCCCTCCCCCTATTTTTCGAGAAGAAGACAGTGGAGCTTCTCACGTGCCTTCTGGGATCTCTGGCTTACCTTGAGGCACGACGCAGGCTCATCTCTCGAAGGTGCGTCCGCCACGTTGCTTGGTGAAGGTACTCGAGCGTACCAAGCAAGAACAAAGTGAGCTTCCTCAAGTGAGCAAATCCGAGCTACGATGCCATTCAGCCTCAAGCTTGGCGACCGCCCTCTTATGATTGATAGCCGAGCCCCTTCCTTGTCCACAAAGGCCACGAGGTGCCGTCGTGACAACCTTTCTTTCCATAGGTCAATAGCCATGAGTACCGGAAATGCTTCCATCTGTGATGATTTGCTCCTTGTCCTCACTGGTGGCCCTGACGCACTCCTCACCATCCATTGGGAGGCAAACCACTCGATGACCTCGCCCCTGGATGTCAGCAGCACTGCTCCAATGCCCCCAGTTTTTGACTCCACATCAAAACACGCATCCGTGAACAAGAACACGTGTCAGCTGTATGGATGTCCGCCTCCCTGGGTGCCTCGTGCTGCAGGGCGTCGATGAAGGCCAGAATTCATCTTTGCATTCGTCCTCCAAAGCTCCATCGACCTACTCCCTCTGTCTCCCCTTGCTCAGTCTCCCTTTTTCAAGCACAGCACGAAGCGACGAGACAAGCTCCAAGGTTCGTTTCTCTGTGTTTGAGACCCCAAGTGTGTTTGAGACAGACCTAGCAGCACGTCAAGCACCGCCAGCGACTGGCCCATGGAAGAAGCCTTGGGTCCTTCCTTGTCATACGTCCAGCCCAGCAGATCCAGCAAGCACGAGAAGGTTTGTTCTGCGCTCCGAGCTTGTGTCTTGCAGCTCACCACATCGTCGTCGAAGTAGCAGAAGTTGACAACCCAGAAGCCGACTAGCGCCAACCACTGGCTCTGGCACATCTTACAAATGCAATCACGCTGGCACAAGCCCCAAGGGCATTGACAGTTGCTGGAAATTTCTGCACACCCTTTGTCTGGGTTGAAAATGGCTATCCGGGCCCAGCGTGGCGCCGCATCGGACAGAGAAAGCTGACGATAAGCGCTTTTGAGATCAAAAGGAGCGGACGTGAAGTCCCAGGCTCTGGACTGCAGCTTCAGACTTTTGCATTAGATGCTGGGCAACGAGGGCATCGGAACCAATCACCTTTGCCTCAACAGTTAAAGCGTCATTTACCGGTAATTGGCTTTTGCTGCAGTTGTTAATGCATACAGTGTCACTTTGCTGCCTTGTTGAAGGAAACCTGCGGAAAACTTAACCATCTGCAGATCCACACTTCTGTCTGGCGGGCTCGAAAGCCTGTTGAAATGGCGTTTCAACAGGTTTCCATTGTATTTATCAACTTAAAACCTGCAATTAAGCACTGCACCACTGCCACATCTTTGTAACCACAGGCTTCTGACATTGAACTTCAAGCCATCACTTGGGAGTCCAAAGCGCGGAAGAATGCATAGAGTGGATTTTACGGCTACAAGCCAAAGTCGGACCTTAAGCTCTTGAAGCATGGTCTCAAACCAAGAATCACGTTAGCGCTGGCACGTGCATGTCATGCATGAACAACACACACTTCAAAGGAATTTATAACTTTCGGAGGAACTCAAACCTGAGCACTATTACGATCTGCTAAAGTCAATCCCAACGATTGCGCTGATGCTCAATGCGCCTGACGTTCACCGCGGAAAGCTTGCGCACAGCCGAGAGTCACTGTCGGCACGTAATTGTGCCACCAACACGGTCTGACTTTCAAAAAACAAGCCTTGTAAGAATGGCAATCTTACCAGCCGTTACAATCTCTTCGAAGACGACTTGCCCGATTTACAAACGTATGCTTGAGAACGCAGAAGTTGAAGCCATGCAAGTTGCCATGTAAACTCACTTAGAGCGGAGAATGGGCAGCATGTCCACCTGCCGTGCTGGTGCGACCGCTCCTGAGGTTAGTCTCCGCTTAAGATCTGTCGTGTTTGGACACTTTTGCTGTGGCATTGGCGTGCCTACCAATCATGCTGACAGTTGTTCGCACTGAGCTTTGCAGGTGGGTGTCGGTGCTGGAGAGCTGCAGACAAAGAAAACAAGCTGCACAGTGCTATGGCCAAGCATAGAAAGGGCCCTAGAGGGCAAGTGCTTGCTTTTCACGCGATGGTGCCCTGAAGGTAGGCTCTCTTGTGCTCTGCTACGTGGATGACATCCTGATTCTCTGATGGTGAGTCCATCGAAAAGGCATTATTTCCGCAATTCAGCATCGTGTGCCATGAAGATCAGAGGAAGAGTGCTTCAAGACATGAGTGGGGGAGCTTCTATCACCTTCATCGGCCGTACCATTCGAAGGTGGCCAAATGGCAAGTCGATTGAGGGCTTGTGTTTCTAACGCGGCTGTTTGGGGTCTGTAGCTCGGAAGACATGCTTCAATGTTTTTCTGCGAACTGATTTCCGAGTTTTCCTTGCTGAATCGTTTTCCCACTTTAGGAAACGAAATTTTGCAAGCTCGGCATTTCGCTTTCTTTTGAAGCTGTCAGCTGTTCAAGTTGAAGGATCACGAGCTTCCTTCCTGTAAAGTGATGTATGTATAGTCATGTTATGCAGATCAGGATGGCTTACCTTCTGACCTTTGGCTCAAGATGAAAAAGGGCCGCTCTGAGAGCGGGTTGTACGTCGGGTCGAGGGCTGTGTTGATCTCCAACCCTTTGTGGTTCTCCCTCTTGTTGCCTTGTTCCCTCAGCTCAGACATCAGAGTTTTGAGTCTTGCAACCGGTCACCAGGTCCGTATTGCTTTCATAGCTAAGACCCTGAGTGTAGCTGCCTGAGAATGGATGGACAGTGAGCAAGAAGGTGCTTTTGAGCCCCGAGGCATCCGGAGCGGCTCCAGTCTCGAGTGAAGGTGCAAGCGCTCCTGCGTGGCTCAGGCGCGTGCAGTCCTTGCTTTTGATTTTCACGGAGTCCTTGACCGTGATATTCGTCAGAGCACAAATTGGCGCGACGATTCCGGACCGCAACATTCGCTTTTTGCAGAGGTTGAGTCAGATTACGGAGAGCAGGCAGATATTGGTGGTGGTGCTTTCTTATTGCCGTCATTCTGACACAGTAGCTCAAGTTCTCGGCACGAGTTGCAACAGCACTGATCGGCTCATCCGTGAAGCAGGAGTTTCAGTCCTCTCGCTACTTTTTATCACCCGCAAGCCCACGGGTGAATCAGGAAAGCGGGCGCTGCTGGAGAAGGTCTTTGATATTGCTCGTTGTCCCATTGCCATTGTTGACGACAGTGCAGAAGTTGTGGACGAGTGTGCCGGAGCATCATTCATCACTCCGTTCCACATTTCTTTGGCTAAGCGCGGAACGCGAGTTTATCCTCGATCTACGGTGCCCAGTTTTTCTGGTCTGATTGAAGCAGAAGAGTCGCTTTGCAACTGGTGTATCAACTCTGTTCCGAATTCCGAGGAGTGAACGGAGTGCCTGTCCTTGAAGGATAGTTCGGCGAATTTTCGCCACATCCTTCCACTGTTGCACCAGTGAACGCCGTGAGCCTCGCCTCTTCCGCCAAAAGAAAGGGTGCGGTGAGCTGCTGCTAACCGCTTCCACCTCCCACAGCAATGTCTTCTCCTTCTGACCCTAGCAATCAAGCCAGCTCGGTGCTTGATTTGTCAAGTGCTTCAGCCACGGCATTGCCAGGTGGTGTTGGTTCGGATAGTGGTTCGGTTGCTAGTAGTTCAGCAGTTGAGGTCCGTGAAAGGTCCCCTCCTCTGACTAGACAAGCCTTGTCTAGACCTCGCAAAACTCATGAGCACTCAAGCCCTTACCCTAATCTAACCGCTCAAGCCTCATACACACAGAACATCCTGAATGTTGGAGCCTCTCCGCAAGAGGTTTTGGATGCACAGCGTTTAGCCGCAGCGCAAGCAGCGCAACATGTTGCTGATCATGCTGAACAGTTGCATGCCACAAGGCTAGAGCGTGTTGAGAATGAGGCTAGAGGTTTGGTTGAATCCACCGTTGAGCAAATGCGTGAGCAGTTGCAACAGTACGAACATCGCTATGATGAGATCCTTCAACAGGGTCGAATCTTGGAAGAACAGCTCTCTGTAGCTAAGGCCGAGCTAAGCAAGGCCGAAGCAGAACTTCAGGTCGCTCGTGCAGGGTACCAAGAGCTTGAAGCCGCCCTAACCAGCTGCCGGGGTGACAACAACTTGCTGAACTTCCAAAACACCCAGCTACGTAGTTGCAAGTCAAAGACCGCGAGATTCAGAGACTTCGCCAGGCTGCTGCAAGCGCCACGAGTCCTGGGTCTTCGCCTCCAACGTCTGCTCCTCGCCAGCCAGATAAGCCGCCGGTACTTGCGTCAAGTGCATGCTCTGGTGGGTTTAGTTGGGTACATAACGGTTCTAATGAGGATAATAGTGGTGCACCTTCATTGCCGCAAGTTGTCAATGAGTCAGCCCCTTGCCCTCCTGCGACCGTCCCTCCTGCGACCGTTACCGATCCTCGTGTTGATCAGTTGATTGATGTCGTACAGCAAATGCTTGCCCAAAGAAATGGCACGGATCCAGGATGCAATGATGCATCTCCTGTTCATGAGATCGAAGAGCCTGAAAGGCAAGAGAAGCACATTGTTGACAGCCGAGCTTTGTTACATCTCAAGCTTGAGCCGGTTCCTTCCGACGCTGCTGGTTTCCGAGCCTGGAAAAACTCGTTGTTGGTCCAGATTGCCAAGCTTGACATGTCAGGCGAAGGTTTGGTTGTTGCATGGTTGTCTCGGTCTTTCACAGCTGAAAAAGAAGAGCTTACTGAATCAGGTCTTCTTCCTCGCCTTGATGCTTGGATTGCTGGAGAGATGACTTCCATGCGTGTGTTGAAGCAAGTGACTGAGTTGGCGCAAGAAGTTATCGCCTACGTTGAGTTGTGTGGCCAGACAGGGTCCCAGCCGAAAGGTCGATACATGCTTGCTCTTCTTGCTCGTCATTTCAGCATTGACCGCGTTCGAGGCACTGTGCTGACTGCTTCAACGTTGTTCCAGGTCGAAATTGGAGGAAACTCCATTCGAGATCTCCGGGATTTTGTGCAGCGCGTTCGGACTGTTCTGTATTCAATCCCAATAGGACAGAGGCCGGATGATCGCCTCACTGGCGAATGGCTCTTCCACCGTGTGAAGCACATTAGGAAGCTAGAACGTGTCATTGATGACATCAGAGAATCTGCGCCAGAATCCCGTCGTCGTGAGTGGAGTTACCTATGGAACAAGATACAAGACGTCATCGTTCAAGAACGAGAAGACACCAATGCTCAGTCGGTAATCAAGTCCCTGCAGATTGCAGCTCCGCAGGCAAAGGCCAGGGGGGTACCTGCTGAGACCGAAGAGCCACCGCGAAGTCCTCCAGCGCCCAAGACTCCGCCAGAGGCTCCAGTGTCTACAACCCCAGCACCAACCCCTGAGCCTGAGGCGAGAGCAAAGCCAAAAGCAAAAAGCATGTCAGATGCAGAAAAGGCTAAGACGCCTTGCATTTTCTTCAGGATGGCATCTGGTTGCATGCACGGAGAGGACTGCAAGTACAGTCATGACCCTGATAAGACCCCTAAGGTTGACCCTAAGTCTAAGCCTAAGGCCGCCGCTCCCAAACCCAAATCCACAGGAGCCGTTGCGAAGGCAGTCGTGGCAATGATTGCCGCCTCAAGCGTGTGCAACATCCCTGGAGGCAACGCCTTCAGCGTTGGGTGGGCTGCGGATACAGCTGCTGGTCGGCATCTTGGATCGGCACGGGCGTTGGCAGACCGGGGAATTCCGTCGGAGTCATACAGGTCGTTTCTTGCGCACTCAGCGAGCCTTGTTACGTTCCACGCAGGCGGTGGACCTCAGCCCGGTTCGCAGAGCTTGGGATTTGCGTCCGACAATATGCCTCTCGCCATTCACTACATGTTGGACAACTGCCCAGTTGTTCGAAGCACTGGCTTGGATGTTGAATCTGGGAAGGCCTTCATATGGTTACCTGGTTCCCTTCCATTCTTCGCGCATGACTTGTCTAAGCTTCGGGTCGACTGCGCCGAAGAAGCCAAGCTTTATGCCAAGCGCACAGATGAGCATGTGCCGATCTTCACCAGCAAATGTCAGTTTGTCCATGGTCTTGCTGCATCAGCTGATTCTCTTGACGAGTCGGGTGAGGAATGCCAAGAGCCTTCGCGTCCCGTTGCCCATGATCCAGCTGAAGAGTATGCCAAAGACCTCCTAACAAAGCGTGGTGATATTCAGCCCAATCAAGTTCGTAAGATCTTTGGACTTATGAAACGTGGTTCCGCATCCCGAGGGATTGAGCCGAGCGATGACTCGTCCTTTGCAGTAGGTTGCTTCTGTCGAGGTGGTGTGGTCGGTCTACTGAAGTCCAAGAAAGGGGTCATCCGGTTTTCCGCCAAAGATCGACTTCGTGCCACGAAGCCTTGGACTGGTGATCGACTTGTGATGGTCTTGTGTGCGGCAAAAGATCCTGCTTCTCTCGAGCATGATGTTTTGGATGCTCTCATAGGAGTTGGGTTTCTACTGGACAATCTTCCGCTGGTTGATGTCATTCCCGCAGAAGTTGATTCGTCCGAGATACCTTCCTCTTCGTCAGGGGGGTTACCCAAAGAACATCTTATCGAAGCAAGCCCTGATGGTCCTGCTGCGTCTGCGCTTCCTGAAGGGGACAAGCCTCTAGATTTGAGTCCACCTGGATTCCCCGTTGTGGATGATGCACATGTCAGTGATCGAGTTCGCAAACTGAGAGATGAAGCTGTAAGTGTGAAGCATCGCTTCTTCCACTTCCCAAAGAACCCGTTCTGTGATGTGTGCAATCAATCCAAGCTCTTGTCCAGAAGAGTGTGTCGCAAGCCTCGTGATGAGGACTCTGAGCCCGCGTTGCTTGAAGCCTCGGAATTTGGAGAAGTCTTCGCAGCTGATCACATTCATGTGTTCAAGTCACTCAGCGACTCCAACGCTCCCGGAAGAGAGTATGTTGTGTTCGAGCAGTGCCCTGTTCAATGACGCGTTGCCTTTACTTGAAGTTTGGCAAACCGTGATTCTTGGCATCAAGCTTTTGTGTCATGCAAATAATGAAGCTTGTGTCGCCATTATCCGAAAGGATATTCAGCTAAGCTGAGAAAGGTAATCCTTTGACGAAGGCCCTTTCAATCCGGAAATGGGCTCACGCACTAAAGTTGCTGCGCATTTCTACTAAACATCTGCCAGATGTTCCCAGCTAAGTGTGTTCGCCGTCACCTAAAGCTTTGTTACAATTGCCTCTGGTGATAATGTTGCGATGGTTGTTCAGCTGAGCGATACTTCCATCACTGTGCAACTTGCAGACACTCGGATGCCCAGCGGCCGCTCTCTTCATCCTTGTGTCATCCGAATGAGCTCTTGAAGAACTCGTTCCTAAACCACTGCCTATCCTCAATCTCGCACTGTGTGATGTCGGTGTTTGGCTGCTGCCTAGCGCCACTCTGACTCTGCATGAGCACAGCTGTGCTTCTGATTGGGAGTAGTCTTGTACAGTATCCATCATCGTGCTTTTGCAGACACTTGGATATGAGCCATCATCCCTGTGTCATCTGAATGAGTTCTTGAGGATCTCGTTCTGCACTCCTTGCCTGCCCTCAGCCTTGCACTGCGTTGTGTCAGTGTACGGCTGCTCCCAAGCGCTGCTCTGACTCCGCCTGAGCACAGTCCTGCACCGGTTGAGAGTAGTTTTGTATAGATCGCAGGTAGAATTACCTTAAAGGTTTATTGAGTCTACGTTTCAGCCTGATCACCTGAGATACCGGATTCAATTTGTACATGGCTAAGCCTGTACTTCAATCGACAGTAGGTTTGGCTGCAGAGTTGAGCTCGTAGCTGTTGCTTCCTGAAGTCCAGAATCGAGCTTCAAATGAGCTCTAGGACTTGAGAATCTGCAAACATGAAGGGGGGAGTTGAAAAATCACGAGCTTCCTTCCTGTAAAGTGATGTATGTATAGTCATGTTATGCAGATCAGGATGGCTTACCTTCTGACCTTTGGCTCAAGATGAAAAAGGGCCGCTCTGAGAGCGGGTTGTACGTAGGGTCGAGGGCTGTGTTGATCCCCAACCCTTTGTGGTTCTCCCTCTTGTTGCCTTGTTCCCTTAGCTCAGGCATCAGAGTTTTGAGTCTTTCAACTGTTCAAGCTTATTTTCCGGTGTATCCGGTTTTGTGTCAGTTAGTGGGGAGGAGATCCTGTGATCTCATCTGAGCCATAGGTGCTGTCCACTTGGGCTGTGCATGTCAGCTTGGGTTTTCGTCAATCCAGCTTCTGACTTGGCAACTCTGCTTTCAGCACAGATCTCATCCGTGATTTGGGATTTTCTGGCTCCTTCTTCGCGCAAGCTGTGGCAGGCTGCATCGGTGGCTATACACTGCTTTGCTCGTTCGCATTACTCCTTGCTACGTCTTGTGGCTGCTATAGCCTTACGTGGCAATGATCCGAGATGTGATGCTCCTCTACACGCTGGTCCTTGTGCGCAGCAGCATGGCTATGCCCAGGCGCGGCTTCGCTGACAACGCACCTCTGGATATATCTGGCCATCGCAGGTCCACTTCGGCTCTTGAAATGGACCTTGTGGGGGTTCTTTCGCAACACTTGCACTCAACCGTTGACATCAATGTGGAGATCGGCGACGCTGTTTGGTCTGCTAATCGGGTCATGCTACGCATTGATGAGGTGCCCTCCTGCTACGACTAGTACCGATCCTCGACTTGTTCTCAGGCTGCAGAACTTGGGGCCATGCACGCTTCATCTCGTCTTGGTTCTTTGGATATGGAAGCTCCCTTTGCAGTCAACAATCGTTCGGGCACAGGCACTTCACCTTTGGAGAGTTTTACTGTGGGCACCGTGTCTCGTCCTGCATCACAAAACGCTCCGGGCGGCATCCATGTGGTCACGACGCGCTACCATCCTGTGAGTCGAGCTGATCTGACTGCGCCTTCGGTCAATTCAGTGAATCAGGAGTACCCGGCATCTGATGCTCTGCCTTCAGCCGCTGCCGGGCGCCTACTGGAATCGCTTGACTGATTCTGCAGCTCTTGTATTCTGACAGCTAAAGCGGATAGTGCATTTCTTTTGCTGTGCCTTTCTTGAAAGTAAGCTCCTGTGAGCGGCTGGGATGCAGCTCTCGCACGGCACTGGCTTGCTTGTGAAAAATTTCCCTTTGAGCAGCTGGTCTCTTGTGATTCACAAAGACTTCTTCAGTGCCTTGAGCACTCGCATCGGCTCACGTCTGGCACTGCTGCATGAAGCTTTGACATGCTCTGATGTCCGGTGCTTCTTGTGCAACTTCAGTCTTTGCATTCCAAGATTGCGCTCATTGCATGTTGGTGCACATTTCGCTGCCTTGTAGTGAGCTCAGCATCACTGCACGTGGGTTGCGTCTGGCATGCATGCTCTTCTGGCACATGCTTTGGCTCCTTGCGCATTACAGTTTCTTGTTTCCAATTGTTCGGTGCTTGTACTGCAGGTACTCTGAAACCTTGCAGCTCTCAAGCTTTCAAAGTCTGACAACTGAAAGCTCAGTTCATCCAAAATTATGAATTAAAAAAGGCCTTGAGAAGCTCTCAGTTTGAATCCGTATGAATCCACATCACCTTAGGCCTATCATTGCTCGTACCAACGTGGCTCGGGGGGTAAGTTTACAAAAAAGACGCAGCGGTTTGGAACTTGGGGGTTGTCAACGCAACGTTTGGAGCTTTTCTTGTGTTGTTCACTGTGTTTGGGATTCCATTGTATTTATTATCCTCTCACATGGATATAATGTTGCCTTGCTGAATCTTTGCTTGCGCCGCACTTTAGGGGACCTTTCATGTTTGGATGCAGGCTGGTTTTTGCAGCTGATTTGATTTTGCAACAAAGATCGGTTTTCTGGGGTTGAGCCGCTTCTGGTTCGGTTGAAAATAATCTGCTTACATTCATCATCGTCGAGAGACACTTCCGATTTTTGCATGTTCCATCCGACACCTCGACATTCATGACTTGCTGTGTCACACATGTTCTGCAGCAAGGATGCCCAATGTCATGGTCACTGGCTTCGTGTACGTGCAATATCCTCCTGTTTTGCTTGTTGCACTTGGGGATGTTGCCAAAATGCTCTGAGATTTCAAAGCTGGGACGTGTGTTCTCGCAAAGTCGGCACATGGACCCAAACATGTTGTCAAAACACCAAGCGAAAATGTCGTGCTGTCCTGCATGAAACGCATGCTGAGCTGGCGTTGACCGGATTTGGTTTGGCACGTAACTCTTTTGTTGTCATGAATGTTTTGGCCAACCTTCTGCCCCTTTCATGCTCAATGCCTTGCTAAACAGAGCGCCATCTTTGTACCGGTGTTTCATGTTGGAGTATCTTTGACTTTGGCCACGTGTGGACACATACATACGTACATTTATTGCATATCCAGTCTTCGAAGCAAGGTTTGGCATCATTTTTGGTTCAGGCTGGTAAACGCATGCCGCCATCAGAACATCCATGTTTGGAACGGATCAGAAGTCGGAGCAACACGTTCATTGTCTGCATTGCCGGCTAATCCACGCAAGCACACATTCCGCATGCTTGCAGCCCATGCTCAACTGGGGCCTCGAGGCCAGCACAGTGCACAGCCACTGAGAAGGTTATGCCACATTCTACAACAGAGACATGGTGTTGAATGTGTTGAGCACAGGAGCGCCCAGGGACGGCCCCTACACTTGCGAGACGGCCAGAGGAATGGCAGGAGGCAGCATTTGAGCATCGACCATGTGGCATGCGTTGTGAATGTTCATGTGCGAGGTGAATGATTTGGTGAGCAATGTTTTTGGTGACGCGCCAACCTTGGGCCATTTTTTGAATATTGCAAAAAAGTGAGAAGCAATGCTTTCGAGGCGCAATTCGCTTTATTGCCAAGGTTATCAAGTTCGTTCAAAATGATGTGCAGCACACGAGCCTGCCCCGAGCTGAGTTGTTTGGTGCAATAGGCAAGCAGCCAAAAAAATGGTGAAGGGGGTTGTGACAGTTGCTGAGAGGCCACGCAGACCGCACACAGCATGTGCCGGTGTGCAAGCAACGCCGGTGCGAGTCTTGGTTGGTTTGTTCGCATTGGCGGCTCGAATCCCCTTGGCATGCATTGAGACGTCGATTTGTGCGGAAAGGTTGCATTTCGAGCGGATTCTTGGGACGACACTGAGAACGAAAGCGACGGAGGCTCTTTAGGCACAGTGTCGGGGAAAGAACTGGTAAGGAAATGTGATTTCATTGGGTTCGCATGCGACGAATCAAGTGGCGCAGATGCAGACGATGACCTGCACGAGCGTCTTGGGATTGAATTTCAGCAGTGCGCCGAGGTCTCAGTGTTGGAGTTAGAGACAAGATGTGCTCTGCCGGAGTGTCCTAGTAGTCATGTTTTATTCAGGCAAAGCCTGTGGGGAGCGCGGTGTCCAGCACAGGCTCTTTGTTTCAGTCTCATCGACATTCAACCAAAAATTCGCTCGAAAGTGCCCGGTCATGAGCCCCGGACATGAGAATTGCCAATTCCCCAAGCCCGCAAGTGATCGGTGCATGGTTCGAGAAGGTCGACAGCATTGGATACAAAGTCTTCGAGTCGAAATTTTAAATATAAGTTTCGTTCAGCGTTTATCGTTCTGTGCACTCGTTCTGTACCTTCGGATGTGTGACTGTGACCCCTTCGCACAGCTGGTTTCTCAGTTTCACAGGACGGTCGACTCAGAGCCTGGACGCTCAGGCTTGGAAGAGAGAGTTTCGTTGTGAGAAGCATTTTGAAAGATGTTCTGAGAGATGCGCAAACTCTATGCGAAGCACTAGGTTTTTGTCATCCGTCAAGTCGGCCCTGGCAGGTAAAAGAGAAGCCACGTTCGCTCACAACAGGCAGAAGTCGGAATTCGGTGTCTGCTTGGCTACTTCCGGGCAGAAGCATTGCTGTGACGTTTCAGGTGAGTGCCTACTTCTGGGTGGGATGCAAAGACTTGCAACCGCCTCCCAGCAGGTGCATCGGCTTCTTGTTGAGCTTAAGCGGTTTTCCAACAGAAGCCCTGCAAAGTGCAGGGCGTGGCATCGCAGCACAGCCGTGCTGAGCCTGGCAGTGTGCGTGGCAGTGCCGAGCCCGGCAGTACCAAGTCGACTACAAGGCCGAAGTTTGCCCAAGAGCATTCAAGAGCCAATTGCTTGTGCTGCCATCCAGAACACTATGCAGTTGATACGCTTTCAGCACCTACGTAGTTCTGGCCATTCGCCAACATGCACATCTTTCTTCAATCTGGTTCCCCCTTGCGTTGCATCACTGCATAGTTTTCAATAGCAAGCAACTTGCTGCATCGCTGCATCGCTGCATCGCTGCATCGCTGCATCGCGCCTCATCACGCTTCCCACACGGAAGCCGAACACGTGTGATAATTGTCCACACAGGCTGATGCAATTTGACCCATTGCCTGCTTCCATTGGCACCAAGCTTCCGAGGACAACGGCTGCCTGTAGCTGGGTAGTTTGGCAGTACATGTGCAGCGGCAATCCCTTCCAGAATTTCCACATACTTCCACGTCTGTTTTGCTTGGGTGCGGAAAAGGAGCGTGCTTTTGAAAGGGTTTGAGCACCCGGCAGTTTTGCAGGACCAGCCTTCTTGTCGGAGGAGGCAGAGCTTTGGAGCGTCAAGAGACTCAGTTTGGTGTCTGTGGATGTAGGTTGTGGAATGGCACCGCAAGCTTCCAGGACCGTCTTGCAAAGTCGTAAGATGTGCACGGTTGAGTGCCCGTCTTCGCCTTTTTCGACACAGGTTCAAGTCGCACAATTCCTGGAAAGATTTCCTGCCAACACGCAGATTGGGCACTTCAGGCATGGTAAGCAACTTTCTCGCTATGGTGGTTGAGTGTGTCACATGACCAGGTCGGTCAAGCCTTCCAAGAAGTTTGATCAAGACCTCAAGGTCGTTCGGAATAGTTGTGCCTGTGGTGAGAACGCGCATTCAGCTTTTCTAAAGATGGTGATATTAGTTGGTGGTTGTTCTTCTTGGTTTTGTGTTTCGCAACTGCACGGATCAACGTAGACTTTGCAGGGATGCATTAATAGCTTTTCTGTACTCATTGAGGACCGATATTTCACACACAAGTATGACCTCATCTGTTTCAAGGCCTTCAGATGGATACCCAGTGGCCAGCCCGCCAGAGGCTCGAAATGCCTGGAAGCATGCGCCGTGTCACGGCTCCTTGAGACAATTGGTCTACTAAGGTGGTTTCGTCCAAGACTCTGGGTATTAAATGTTTGGGGCGTGCGGTACTTGAGGTGCTTCAATGGTTCATGGTGTTTCGGTGTTCATCAATTGTTCGTTTAGTGCCGTGCTGACAATTTCTGCTGATCCTTTTTGCAGGACAGTTCCATTCGCGACACTGCAGAGCACCAAGAGCAACCACTCAAAGGCTGCCTGTGATCTGCATGTGCTGCTTAGATTCTAGATGCACTGAGACGCTTGGATTTTGAGGAAGTTTGCTAGGTCCCAGATACCGCGTTGCGCCTGGTGGAAGTCGACCAGTACGGCCTGCACGAGAGGCCTCTTTCGGCTTTTTCACATCCACTGTTGATTTTGGCAACGAAGTTCTGCCATTTTTTATTGTCCCGGCTTTGCCTTGATGGGCGTAACATTCGCAGGATTGGCTCTACAATGAATGTAGACTCAACTCATGTCAGGCTGAGCAGTTTGTTGTCCTTGAGTTCCGCTCCGAACCGTGCGCTGCCTGGTGTCTCCTACAGTCTAGACATGTCCATAAGGAAAAAAGTTGAAGATGCTTTGAAGCAGCTGTGAAGACCAAGGCGAGTGGTCCCTGCGCGTCGGGTCCATGCCAAGGCACCTAAGGCCCCATCGGGAAAGGTGAATGCGTGACATTGCTTGACTAGGGAGTGTGTAGTGCGTGTAGGTCTGCCCAATGGTTCGCGAGAGTGGGGCTTACAGACATTGTGTGATGTCAAGTTGGACGTCGGAAGCTTCAAATGTGCAGGAGTTCCGAACATCTGACTTTGCTTGTGCAGGCCTGTCTTAAGCTTGTGTTCGTGGGGAGATTTTGCAAATGGTTGCGATTCCTTTTTCTGCAGGTCAAAAACATCAGAAGCAAGACCTCAAAGCACCTCTGCACAGGCAAAAACGGCTTGAGATACTGCCGCACATTTAGTGCATTTATTCTCTGCCATCGCTTCTGCTTTGTTTGAGGCTTCGTGGTGCTTGGGCACGGGAAAGGGAGGCAGCGTCTTTGCAATCGCCTGTGTCACAACACCAATGAATAAGTTTTGACTGCGGGGCTGAGGTGTCAGATTCGACACACGCTAGCACTCACATGCATGAGGCATTGGCGCAAGTACCTGCGGGGTTGTGATTGCACCGAATTTGCAAGTCTCACCTGGATCGTCGTTCTTGAAGCTGCTACGAAGTGTAAAATTCAACGTCTCTAGTTCTTGTTCTGTCGATCGGTCTACAGTTCTTGAGCTGGTAGGTGCAGGCTGCAACTTGAGGGTGTTTTGAAGCACGGCCATGATTGTTCTTGTAGCTTCAGGTATCGCACCTGGTATCTGCTAACGTGTGAAATCTTCTTGTGCTGGCGGTGGTGCGCTCTACGAGAACTCTACGAGAGCTGTTTGGCTCCGGGCTTCCAGATAGCCGGGCGGGGCCGCTGCAGGGAGCCCAGTGAAGGCATAGTCGATTCAGCTTAAGGCTCAAGTGAAGCGTGTTAGTATTTTCTTTGTGCTTCAGCTTCAGCATTTCAATGATTGTGTTTTGTTCTGGACGATTTTTTTAAAGGTTGTTGCAGTGCAACATCAGCCTTTGTTTGGCTGCAGCCTCGGCGCTGTGATGTGATGCGATGTGTGCAACAGCATTGCGCAGATCGCATCGCTGGGTTGGTCCACACAGCCATCTCAGGGCCATTTCCTGCACTAAGGAAGTGTGATGAGCATGAACGGGCAGCCAATGGTTCCATCGACATGTTGTGTCCTGCGCATGCGACAGTGCAGCTAGCGCAGCTTGCTGGGTTGGTCAGGCTTACGCTGGACCCCCTTTTGGGCAACCGCAAGGCTCTCGTTGGTTTTGTGGGGCTGCAAGGGCTTGAAGGCAAAGGGGTTCAGCAGCCTTAGCTGTTCAGCAGGCTACATGCCCGTGGCAGCTGCTGGGGATGAGTATGGGCCGCCACAGCCAAGCTACATGGGGCCGGATCGGGAAGTGCATTCCATGACTGGGACATTGGTCTGTTTGGTCTGTCTGATGTCAGATATGTCAGGCCACCTGAAGGCCAGCTCAGTCCAGGCATGGAAGGCCGCTTTGACGTGCTCAATAGAGTCCAGGAAACCGAGACGATTATGTAGAACAGGCGAGCCTAGAAATTTGAAAGACAGGAAAGGCCCGTTGAATGTCCTTAACCTTCCTTATTGCACCTGCCACTTAGGTTCAGGGTGTAAGTTTAAGGCTTACGGTTTTCAAGTACAGGTTGTCTCGCTCTCTCTCGCTCTCTCGCTCTCTCGCTCCTCTCGCTCTCTTTCTCTTTTTTGTTTTTTGTTTTTTTATCTCTCTCTCTCTCTCTGTTTTCGTGTTTTTGTTTTCTCTCTCTCTCTCTCTCTGTCTCTCTCTGTCTCTCTCTGTCTCTCTCCGTCTCGCTCCGTCTCGACCCGTCTCTCTCCGTCCGTCCCCGTCTCTCTCCGTCCCTCTCCGTCCCTCTCCGTCTCTCTCCGTCTCTCCGTCTCTCCATCTCTCTGTCTCTGTCTGTCTCTCTCTCTCTCTCTGTCTTTTTCTCTGTCTGTCTGTCTCTTTGTGGCTCTCTGTCTCTTTGTGTCTCTCTGTCTCTCTGTGTCTCTGTGTCTCTCTGTGTCTCTCTGTGTCTCTCTGTGTCTCTCCGTGTCTCTCCGTGTCTCTCTGTGTCTCTTTGTGTGTCTCTCTGTGCTCTGTGTGTGTCTCTCTGTGTGTGTCTCTCTGTGTGTGTCTCTCTGTGTCTCTCTGTGTGTGTCTCTCTGTGTGTGTCTCTCTGTGTTGTGTCTCTCTGTGTCGTGTCTCTCTGTGTCTCTGTCTCTCTTTCTCTCTCTCTTTCTCTCTTTCTTTCTCTCTTTTTCTCTCTCTTTCTCTCTTTTTCTTTCTTTCTCTCTTTTTCTCTCTTTCTCTCTTTTCCTCTCTTTCTCTCTCTCTCTCTTTCTCTGTCTTTCTCTCTTTTTTGTCTCTTTTTATCTCTTTTTATATCTTTTTATATCTTTTTATATCTTTTTATATCTTTTTATATCTTTTTATATCTTTTTATATCTTTTGGTCTCTTTTTCTCTCTTTTGATCTATGTTTATCTCTTTTTATCTCCTTTTATCTCTTTTTATCTCTTTTATCTCTTTTTATATCTTTTTCATTTCTTTTTATCTCTTTTTGATCTCTATTATTATTATTATTTTTTTTTTTTATCTTTTTTTCTCTCTCTTTCTCTCTCTTGCTCTCTCTTTTTCTCTCTTTCTCTCTCTTTCTCTCTCTTTCTCTCTCTTTCTCTCTCTTTCTCTCTCTTTCTCTCTCTTTCTCTCTCTTTCTCTGTTTTTCTCTCTTTTTCTCTCTTTTTCTATCTTTTTCTCTCTTTTTCTCTCTTTTCCTCTCTTTTTCTCTCTTTTTCTCTCTTTTTCTCTCTTTTTCTCTCTTTTTCTCTCTTTCTCTCTCTTTCTCTCTCTTTCTCTCTTTCTCTCTTTCTCTCTTTCTCTCTTTCGCTCTCTTTCTCTCTCTTTCTCTCTCTTTCTCTCTCTTTCTCTCTCTTTCTCTCTCTTTCTCTCTCTTTCTCTCTCTTTCTCTCTTTTTCTCTCTTTTTCTCTCTCTTTCTCTCTCTTTTTCTCTCTTTCTCTCTCTTTCTCTCTCTTTCTCTCTCTTTCTCTCTCTTTCTCTCTCTTTCTCTCTCTCTCTCTCTTCTCTCTCTATTCTCTCTCTTTTCTCTCTCTTCTCTCTCTTTCTCTCTCTTTCTCTCTCTTTCTCTCTCATTTCTCCTCTCTCTCTCGCTTTCTCTCTCTTCTCTCTCTTCTCTCTCTTCTCTCTCTTTTCTCCTCTCTTTCTCTCTCTTTCTCTCTCTTTCTCTCTCTTTCTCCTCTTTCTCTCTCTTTCTCTCTCTTTCTCTCTCTTTCTCTCTCTTTCCTCTCTTTCTCGCTGCTTTTCTCTCCTTTCCTCTCTCTTTCTCCTCTTTCCTCTCTTTCTCTCTCTTTTCTCTCTTTTTCTCTTCTCTTTCTCTCTCTTTCTCTCTCTTTCTCTCTCTTTCTCTCTTTTTCTCTCTCTTTCTCTCTCTTTCTCTCTCTTTCTCTCTCTTTCTCTCTCTTTCTCTCTCTTTCTCTCTCTTTCTCTCTCTTCTCTCTCTTTCTCTCTCTTTCTCTCTCTTTCTCTCTCTTTCTCTCTCTTTCTCTCTTTTTCTCTCTCTTTCTCTCTTTTTCTCTCTTTTCCTCTCTTTTTCTCTCTTTTTCTCTCTTTTCCTCTCTTTTTCTCTCTTTTTCTCTCTTTTTCTCTCTTTTTCTCTCTTTCTCTCTCTTTCTCTCTTTCTCTCTTTCTCTCTTTCTCTCTTTCTCTCGCTTTCTCTCGCTTTCTCTCGCTTTCTCTTTCTTTCTGTGTCCTTCTCTTTCTTTCTCTCTTTTTTTCTCTCTCTCTTTTCTCCCCTCTCTCTGTTTCTCTCTCCTTTGTTTCCTCTTTCTTTCTCTCTCTCTCTCTTTGTTTTTTGTTTTCCAACTCTCTCTAACTCTCTCAAACTCTCTCTAACTTTCTCTAACTCTGTCTAACTCTCTCTAACTCTCTCTAACTCTCTCTAACTCTCTCTAATTGTCCCTAAACTCTCTCTAAACTCTCTCTAACTTCTCTCTCACTTTCTCTGACTCTTCTGCCTGCCTCTGATCGTCTCTGAATGTGTGTGACCCTGTTTGACTTTCTCTGACTCTCGGTCTGCCTCTCTCCCTCTCCCTCTCCCTCTCTCTCTCCCTCTCCCTCTCCCTCTCCCTCTCCCTCTCCCTCTCTCTCGCTTTTTCTCTCTTTGTTTTTCGCTTTCCCTTTCGCTCTCTCTTTCCGTCTCTCTCTGTGTCTCTCTCTGTGTCTCTCTCTGTGTCTCTCTCTGTGTCTCTCTCTCTCTCTCTTTTTCTTTGTTTCTATCTCTCTCTCTCTCTATCTCTTTCTTTCTCGCTCTCTCTCTCTATCTCTCTGTCTCTCTCTCTCTCTCTTTCTCTTTCTTTATTCATTTCTTTCTTCCTTGCTTTCTTTCTGTCTTTCTTTCTTTCGACTCGGTGGTTCTCCGACGGGCGTTTCTGCTTTTTTCCATTCGGCAAAGTTTATAGTTTCGGAGTTTCGGACTTGACGCCCACCCTTCGATCGTTTTTCTGATTGAGGTAGCCCGAGTTCTTCGTATGGCGGAAGTCCTGATGGCTCGTCAGTGTCTCAGTCGGGACTCTGCTGGGACGGCTTCAGGGAGATGGCGTGCTCAATTCCATTTTGCCATGCAGTCACAGTTGTCGAAGGTATGGAGAGATGGGCTCAGGCCCGTGCTGTGTGACAAGGCAGCTACTCTGGGAGATATGCTGTGCGAGGCACACATGCTCAATACGCTGACATGAGCGACATGGATTACCAGCAGTTTACGGAGGGTGCCGGCAAGACTGGAGCTTCGGGGAGCTGGGTGCTTGAGTGTACAACCTTGACCGCCCTACCCAACTGATATCTCAGATGCACTTTATGTGGCCGATATTCCGAAAGGTCCGAAGGACAGTCTCCAGAGAATTGATCCAGATTCTGGAGTTGGCCCCAGAAGATGTACCGATCTTGTTTGCTGAAGCCTTACGGACCTTACTGTAGCAGTGCGGTGGCTCTTCTCGAGCGCATGCTTGGCTTCTCTTTCCAGGGCTCCCCTTTTGAGGTGTGATGCTTTTTGTCCTTTACATGGTGGCTATGCTGATCTTCCTAACGGTGGTCAAGAATGGAAGTGTTGTCAGCAACTCAGGCATTGCCGTCCGCCCTGCAGTTTTTGCATCAGTTTGCATCTCTTTGACATGAGGATGGGCGTGCCTATTCGGACGTTCGACGGCTGACGCACGGGATGGACTTTGAGGCCTGACTCCCTGGAGGCAAGAGCTTTGGCTGTGTCACGTTCTTTCCAGGCCCGCCTTTGTGGAGTTGACGACGGTGTGGAGGCTTCATCGATTCAGGTTTCCGTGCTGCATCTTGACAGATGACCTGAGCTCGCCAGGAGAAGCCCTTTGTTTTCTGGTGTCGAGACAATCCATCAGAGAAGGAGTTCAACACCGTTCCATCGAAGTGCGCTCCGCAAGATACTGCAACAAATTGAGACCCGGCCATGGTGTTCGTGCTGTATCAGGTTGAACCTTCATCACCCGGTTTGCATTTCAGAATGTCCCAAGCTCTCGCAGGGCTCGCAGTCGGAAGCTGAAGGGGGTCGAAAGAGGGAGATGGAGAGAGGAGACGAAGGAGGGAGAGGGATGGAGAGCGGATGGAACGAGACCGAGAGGATGTAGAGGGAGCGTCATTATTGTTTCCCGCTTATCTACAGTATGCTGTTAATATGCTATGCTGACTCTGGTTTCATGGAGGCTAACGAAGGGGCACACTGGCACCACTAACGGGAAACGCCACGACACACGGGCTTCGAATGATAGTGAAGAGCAAGGGAGCTGACATTTCAGAAGCAGATATGCAGCACCTCGAGAGAAAGCTTGCAGTTTTGTGACTGCTCTTCAGCTCTTTCGACTCCAACAAGCAGGGAGCTCCGACTCAAAGATGCCATAGGCACATGTGGTTGGAAACATCAGTTCTCTCGAGTTGATATCCTGTGGGAGATGCCGTTTCCTTCCTTCATTTTCTTCTACATCTTCTACTTACCTATGGGGCAGGTCTGCTGATGGGAAGTACTGACGGAAAAACGCAGACGCTGACGCAACCGCTCGCATATCCTGAGTGTCCAGAAAGAGACTCATGATGCCACAGATGACCTGGTGTGGTCATAAGGCTTGGACCCAACCAGGTCGAGAGAGCCTGGCATGATTGTTGATGCTTGCAAAGCAGCCAGTGCAGGGGCCCAAAGCCAGGTGCTTGATGCGTGCACAAGGAAATGGACCACCACCAGACTACGCAATCCAGCCTGTGCCGAACATCCCAGGTCGACATGTCAGGGTGTCTTGCCTAGTGCTTGCCTCATGCACATCAGCTATGACAGGTGGTCAACTTGGCAGCGTGCAGAACTACTTCTTGATGTTCCGTGAGGAGACAGTGCGCGCTTCTTAGTTTATCTTGCTCTGCCCGGGCTCAAAAGCTGTACACACAGAACGGCCAGAGGCCATGGATCCCGGGGGAATCCAAGTGGTTGACAGTGTTGAACGTCGTTGAGTTTGTGCTGAAACGGTCTTGACGACTTCAAAGGTATGCCACAACTTACGACTCGGAGCTTCTGGCTGGGCGGTACTGTGTGCCTACGAACGAAGCGCTCAAGGCCGTTAGTGCAATGTTTTTGGAAGGCCGAGGTCTGTTACAGTCTGTTACATAGAACTTTGACTTGCTTGTTGGAAGGCTGAAGTGCTTGGAGGGCCCCTGAACCTGGGTGAGCGCTTGCTGGACCCTTGGTCGGCTGATGGCTGCATCTCTCCAGAGCACAGAACTTGATGTTTCACGGCAGGCAGAAGGGCGTGGGCAGCTTTCAGGACACGAACAGCAATGGAACATCGTGATTCTGAGTCACTGCATTCTGGTATTCACTCCTAGGACTGCTGGACGGTGATGTTTTTCACGGTCCTTGCAACGGTGGCTCTTAGTTTCCTCTACGTTTGGGTTGTCGTGTCGTTGAAGGCCGGGCATGCTGCCATGTGCCGCTCTTGCAGGTTTCTTGCATTTGGGGCATGATTCGCTTTTTGTATGGTTCGCATGGGATGTCCAGGATGCAGGGGTCAACATTGTCAGCTTCGTCTTGGTACTGATGCACATTTTCCTTTTGTTGGTAAGCATCTTTTGCTTCTTGGCCGCTGGGATCTCAGCATTGGCATCAGTCGACTGCTGGTACAGCTGATGCTGAAAAGAGCTCGAATCCTGAGAATTCTTTTGTGATGGCGTGAGGTATCCTATGGAAGACCCATCTTCGGTACAGAGCAGTACATGGACTCGAATCGTGCGCTCTTACGTCTGTCATGGTCATTTGCAGACGGCAGATGTTTGTCAGGACTACAACCTCTTTTTCCGGCGTTCTTCGCCCGATCAGGCGACGAAGCAAGAGCAAAGAACGAATCCTTCAGCAGCGCTCGTGGTTGGTGTCCTCAGAGATGGACAAGTTGACAAAAGTGACCGGAGGCGAAAGTGGAATCGATGATTTGTGGCGCCGTTTTTCTGTTAATGTCGTCAGAGCCTTGGAGTCCTTGGAGCAATTTGGGGAGGGGATTTTGGGGCATTTGGGGTCTGTTGCACACTTGAGACCTCGAGGTTCAACGCCTGTACATTCTACACCAATGTGAATCATGACACAGAGGAGATGCACGAGCTGACGGAGGCTAAAGTTCTTTTGCTTCGCGTTTCTATAGGGCCTGCGAAGGGTCAAGTTTGCGTTCGTCTCGAAGTTCTCTCGGGCTCCATCAGGTATGCTGGCAGCTTTGTGACAGGGTTTCCGCGTGTTCTACAGTTGCCGAAGCAAGTTGATGCCAAAGCCGGACTGATACGCAGATTTCGGAACCTTTCAGAACTGTGCCATGTTGAAGAAGCTGGTTGCCGACAGTTGAAAGCAAGTCATTCGATCATTCGACTCATTTCGTCGCAGCATGTCGCAGCCAAAATCTTGACGATAAGTCGGTGCGAACAAATACCGGCTCGATTGCAGCATGCCTTGGTGATCCTCGATGTAGGTTCACGACCCACGGCTTCTAGAGACCGTTCACTGATCAGCTAGGGGGATATTGTAAAGACGTTCATCTTCACTCGTGCACCTCTTCGTCCATACAATTCCTCTGGGGAGTCTTGTGCTCGGAGCATGCAAAGGGATGCATCGGTGTCATGTGGAAACCTTCGACCTCCCGAGCAACTGACGCGAGGCATTTGCGTTGGCAGAGGGTTGCTTAGGTTGCCCCTCACAGCCGCTGGTGTGCAGAGTCAATGCTCTTCTGAAAGCAGGCTCGAAATCAGTAAGCAGTAAACTCGTGTGAGCGTGTTGTGCCTATCCTCGGTGTGCGAAAGGCACAATGTCCAGAGACAGTGCCTGGCAGACAATGCCTGAACGCTCAACAAACGCGTGTGACCGACTCACAAGCTGCAGATGATGTTCGCGGCTTTCTTGTTGCTAGAAGCCAGCCGGGGGGGGGGGTGCCGCAAGTCAACGGCTTCATACAGTACTCGTGTCTCCAGCCCCCGCAACATCCACAACAACGATCCTGAGGCATGATGCCACAAGCTCAGTCTGGAAATGTCGAAACATTGCGTCGCCGGTTGCCACCAGCAGCCCGCAGTTTCCTTTGCCGAAGAAGCACTTACCGGGCCGTATCGTGCCAACTTCAACAAGTGGTACCAAAACTGGAAGGTGTACCGTGCTCCTCGTGGAGGCTGCTCAGCGTACATCGGGAGATTCCTGACGTAGCTCAGCTGGTTTGAACTTTTTCAGCGCCAGCCAGCCAGAACAGAGGTGCCGAGATTAAAAAATGAGGGTACCTTCGCTCAGCCATGTCAAGCCCAAGAGGCCCCGCCGTTGTTGTTTTTGGAAAAGCACGGGAGTAACATGCGTTCGATTGCCCTCTTGTCCTGTTTTCGGGCTGGCCCCGTCTGAGCTCAGCGGTGGAGTTGGGATGGACTGCTGCGTCCACACTGTGGAACCTCTGGAGCGCCACGGCCGCCACGGCGCGCGCGCGCGCATCAGAGGCAATCGGTTTAAAAATATTTTAAACATGTTTTAAACGGGTTTACCAGCTCAGACTGCGGTGGGCTCACGTCGGTCGAGAAAGGACGCAGAAGGAGACACGCGGTCAGGGCACACGTGTCGCTCGAGCTTTGCTTTCGCGCTCGCTACAAAGATTTTGTTGCCGTTCTTCATTTGCAGTCGGTTTCGCCTCGGGCACGTGCAGGCGGGAGAGGGCGTTGTGACAGCTGGGATGTGTACTAGGCCCTGTGTCAGGTCAACTTGTTGGGAGTGGCCGCTAGATAGGGGAGAGGAAAGGACGAAGCAATGGAAATGGCCATGCTTTCCGACAGCGGTCCGCGGATCACCGCGGGTCTACAGGCACATTTTTCAAAACATGTACAGTTTCTGCCTCAGTATTTCTCCACATGTAGGGTATTCTTTGCCGTTCACAGGGCCACGTGCCTAGAGACACAAGAGTTGTTGGTGTGGTATGCGGTGCTTGCTATTCTGCCGAAGTCGGCACCTGTGAACCGCGCAGACTCAGATGCAGAAATGGTTTGCGTATGTTTGCGTTGAGATGATGTACGTGGAGGTTGAAACCTTAATCACAGCTTTCAGATTTTTCAGCTTTCAAGTTTTCCCAAATAGAAGGTCTTTTCATGTTTTAGAGTGTCGTGATTGTTGACATAAAAGACATGCTCACTGAACAACACGGGTCTGCAATGCAGTGAATGCAAGTTTCCAAGGGATGTAACAACGGCTCGCGGGGGACTAATCGCCGTGAATGAAGCATTGCGGCAAGGCACAAAATAGAAGAGTCGGATTGAATTGGAGTGAGGCCGCGCGATTTGGAAGAGGTTCAACGTTCTTTTTGGAACTGGTCATGAACCTGGGAAGATCGCAACGGGCTTCTCATCCCGGCCAGTGTAAATAAATCATTTTGTTGGGTGCTTGCATTCTTTTGATTTGTTCAGGCATGCTTGTACCAAATTCAAGGTTTTGTGGTTCGTTTTTCCGCTTGTTTCTACTCTTTTGTCGCGAGCAGCACTGATTTCAAAAGATCCAGCAAGATCGAATTGGAGGCCAATTTGGTCGAAGATGAGGAAATTTCTTGTAGCAGCAATGGGGAGCCCAGAGTCGCGAATGAAAAGCCGGCAATGTAAATTCTGCATCAAAAGATGAAAAAAACATGCTAGACGAACCACCAGCTGCACCAGCCCTGTGCCCGCACAAGTGCACGATAGCAATGTCAGCAATCCCTGCATATCCAACTGTTTGCATTTGGATGACCACTGCGTCAATTTTGGGCTTTGTCAGAGAAGCGTCTTGCATGTTCGTGTGAATCGTGATGTGGCTTTGGCAAGTTGTTCGGGGAAGTTGTCTGGGAGCAGAAAAGAGAACCAAAGGGAGGTCTGCATCAGGATGTCTGAATTCGGGTCCTGTGGGAGGCAGCTTATGCAGCGCTGCTGAAGCTGCGCTCCCTCTTTTGGATCCCCCCCCTCCTAGCCAACTCCTCAGAGCATCGTTGCAAAGCTTTTGAGAGGAAGTTGAGAACGGAGTTCTAGCCTTGTACTCCTGTTAGTTGTAGAGTTGTGGAGAGCTCCTTCATGCTCCTTCGCTCCCTCGAGGCCATCGCCAAGTTCTTTACGATGCACCGATCCTGTTTTTTTATTTCAGTTTGTCTTCCTGATGTTGTGCTGCCTGGAGCAGCATTCTGCAAGCTCAGGTGGATGGTGTGCTACAACTTCATGACCTTGTGTTCTGTCGGAATTTTCGCCGCTTGTGCTGCAGTTTGAGAGATGGCTGTTGACGTTTAAACAAATGTAACAGTCATCTAAGGACAGTCATTTTTCATTGGTTAGATGTTGATGCGCACACAGCGGAACAGTCTGAACATGTCGAAAGTGTCTGATGTTAGGATGACTACCGGATCATCGTGGAGGGGGAGCCCTATGCAGGCGTAAACATTGCTTTCAGTAGTATGCCGCGGCACTGCCTGATAGCAGGCATGAGCAAGCATTTCTATTTTGACCCGTGGATGTGGTTGGGCATTGCGCGCGGAGCTTAGGAGCTTTAGCAGGCTTAAAGACCTTAAGGATGGTTTCTCAGTGTTGTTTTCAAGTAGAGGCAGCCTTGACATGGTGTGAAGGATATACCTGCTGGGCTGTCTCTGGATTCTGGAGATCTGGACGTCCTTGGGGCAGTTTGTGATCTCGTGGGCTGCGCAGCTTCTCCATCAGTCTCTTTCTCACTTTTTTTTGCTTCATAGCTTGCTGAACAGCCGAAGGTGGTGCTCAGTGATTTTCTATTTTACCGAGAAAGATGACGAAGAGAAGGTTCGGAGATGGCTTTCTGGTAGTTGGAGTGCGGCGCGTACCCGCGCGTGTAGTTTCAGGCACTTTTGGCACTTTTTCGGGGTGGGGGGGGATAACAACGTCATTCATATTGCGTCCATGCGCAAAAGACTGGTGTTTTTACAGCGTGTTCGCCTCTTTGTCCAACATACTGCACAAGGATGTGGAACAAGCAAATCTATCACAAGCGTCCATGCCTTTCACGACCGTGCCCAAAAACACCGGTATTTTACAGCGTTTTATGCCCAAAACACTGATGTTTTTACAGCGTTTTCGCCTCTTTGTACTGCATACTGCACAAGGATGTGGAACAAGAAAATCTATCACAAGCGTCCATGCCTTTCGCGACCATGCCCAAAAACACTGGTATTTACAACTTTTTATGCCCAAAACACTGGTATTTACGGCGTTACCCTGCAAGAAAAAACCCTCAACATAAAACCCATGACCCGGCCTTCCACTCCGAAATCTCTACCCCATAAATACAGCGAGAGTCACTTCACGAAAACTACTGTAGCTAATTAGGCGAATAGCATGCCCCCCAAAAATAGACAAAGTTTTCCTCTTCTGCTGAAACCCCGCGCCTGCTGATCTTTTCGGCATGTCCTCACAGTGACTTCAAAAAAGGCAAAACAAAAAACAAGCAGGCAAACAGCCTCAACAGCATGCCCGCCAAAATGGACCAGGTTTTCTTGCAGTGCTAAAAAAACCCATGCCTGCCGATGTTTTCGGCTTCTCCTGAGAGTCACTTTACAAAAATCACCAAAACTAACTAGAAATAGCATGCCCCCCCAAAATGGCAAAAATCTTCCTCTACTCCTGAAAACCCACCCTGCCGATGTTTTCTGTCTGCACGTCCGTTCTTGAGAACATGCCTTTTGTACCACGCGCGGGAATCAACCGCGAACCTGGTAGTTGAAGGAAGGATTCCGTACGCCGAGCTTTAAAATTTAGTCACAATTTTTAGAGAGGATAGAGAGGCGAGCAGACCCGGCAGTACATGGCAGGTGGCTATCCCGGTTGCAGCTTGGAAAGCGCTGTGGATTGCAGCCCGGTACCACACAGGCCTGACAGGATTTAGGAGCCTGTGTGATCCCGGTGCATGGGCTCTTACTTCCAGGCAGCATCATGCTTGGCGCGTTTGGAATTTGGCTGAGCCCTTGGCACCTGCCACGTGGGAACGGGTGTGTTTTATGCATCTTTTCCCGAGTGTTTCACACATTTATACACTCAGAGGTTCTTCCGAATTTTCCGCATGGCAGCGTGGATTTGGGTCAGAATCTCAGAGACGGAGCGCAAGCTGAGTATCCAGTTGGTCCAAATGATGATCCCGGATGTGAGATTTGGTGCAGCATTGGCCGCCACTGCTGAGTCTGAAAGTCTTCCACACAAGAGCTCCAAATGCGGCAGCTTCGTCCCCCTCAGCCTCTTGAATCCCGTTATCCAGCCTGCGACTGAGAGCGCTTCTTCTTTTTTCAGACAAAATCCAATCATTCACTTCCACGTCATCTCGCAAGGGCTATTGGCAAATGCTTTGATAGCTGCCTCGGCGACAAAGAGAAAAGGGGCAGTCAAGCCGGAAGCTGGCAAGCCTGGCATATTCATTGCTATTTACTATAAGCACATCTGGGGAGCCTTGTGCTGACACTTTCTGATCCGAAAGGCAGGAGGGAGACTCCATCTATCAGCAGTCGCTTGGCAGCTCAATGCTTCCATACGCAATGAATCGTAATGACATGGAATGCGCGGCCAGCCTCTTCCATCGAGTGGAACCCAGCTCAGCATGTCCTGGGCTGCAGGTATTCCAAGGACGCCTACCAAGATGTTACGATTCGATCGCAGCACTTTTGGCAGGAGCAGTATTGCAGCTGAAGAGAGCTGAAGCACTCAAGTGTTGAGGGTAGTTTGGACGTCAGGCCAAGGAGAAAGCTCAGAAATACATCAGTTCCCAACCGCAGGTTAAGAAGTGACCACCTCAAGCCATGGCATGCGGACACCGCAGTGTCGATCCTCACTTGCGAATCTGAAGGTACACGGGCAAATGCCGACCGAGCACCTTCATTGGAGTTATGGCTATTGCTATTGTGCTGCACTCAAACTGCCTCGAGTCTGCTCCCTCACTGCTCAAATAGTACAATCTCAGCCACTCGGTAGCGACTCCAGCTGAGACTTGCGAGCCAACCATAGCCAACCTCAGGCTGGCTTCCTCATCTCTTACATCATTATGAATCATTCAGGTGCCGTCCAGGCCTATTGCTATGTTTTTCGCGCAGAGAGTTTGCCTGAATGAGGTGTCAACGATCCAGCAAAGTCCAATTTCATTCAGGATCCCCTTGTCCAGTCCTCATCTGGTGTCGGTTGATTGCTGCTCCTGTCCGTTGGCTGCTGCACTTCTTTGATTTTGCTGTGAGCGACCCCTAAGATGGTGTCCGCCGTGGCCTTCTTCCTGTGTGGCTCAATTGCGTGCCGCCGTCTGCTGCTAGCTTGGAATCAGACCCTTCTGCAGTCAAACTCCTCAAATGCAGGTACGATTTCTGCGCTCTGTATGACCATCTGGCCATGGCCTTGGCTCCCAACTGACCTTTACAGATCGTCGATGTATTTGGCTGAACAATGGGTAAGCTGCTGCACGGGAGACAATGCGTCGTTGATACCTGCAGGCAGACTCGCTTCTCTATTGCTTTGCGTACAACCGCAAAGTGAACAAGAAAACCATTGACAAGCTGGGATCCCGTTGGCTATCAAGTAGCTTCCATGAAACAGATGCCCGTGATCCCGTCCAGCGCCGACAGCAGGTTCGTGCCAGAAGAGATCCAAGAAATGATTGGCCGCGAACTTGTCTCTGTTGCAGTGTTGCAGCACTGCAGGTCCGTCATCGGCAGGGACTCACTTGGTCTGCAGTACCCTAGTGGTCATGTAGTGCGTCTTGAAGATAACGCAAAATAAGGTTATAAGTTTCAACTTAGGTTAGCATTTGATTGAGGCAAGGAAGTGATCGAGTCCTCCAAGAAGCCCTCCTATGGCTACCATGGCAGGGCAAGGCCAGATGAGAGGATGTGGTAACCAATGTGGTAGGTCTCAGAACTTCTGACAAGAATTTGCAGAGAACTCGCAAAGTCGCAAAGCACTTAAGACTTATTATTCCCATCGTGCAGCTCCGGTGACCAAGGCCTGAGATGTTCGTGTCCACGTGGCTGAAACAGGGCCAGCACACTTTCGGTGGCTGGTCGCTGAGTGGAGGTGAACACGGTGAACACCACCAGGTGAGCGATGCTGTGCAATAGTGCAGTGAGCGGTGCTCTTCAGTGATCCTCCAGTGCTCCTTCAACGTGTGTTTCAAGAGTCACCCGAACAGTCAACACTAAGGGGTTCCAACGTCAAGGGTAAGAGGGGCTAGATCGAGTGGCCCGTGGCCGGCGCCCGCGGCTTGAACCAGTGCTCACATTTAGACGAGGTGAGCATCGTGCTCTTGCCGGGATGCCGGCGTGGGCGCGCTCGCCGTGCTGCAATGCGAAGCGGTCGTCACTTTTGGATGTCTTAGTTTATTTAATGTGAAAATTTGGACATCTAGGTTCACCAAACGTGAAAGTGCTCGAAAAATACGTAACTGTCGTCGCTCTTGGACGTCTGTGCTCGCAAATGCGTAGCAGTCATCCCTTTTGGACTTCCGCTGACAGAGTCATGACCGTTTGGAGTGTATCTCAAAAATGGACGAGGATGTGTGGGGCGTGTCGGGGGTTGTCTTCCAGGCGCTGGCAAGACAGGGTGAGACCATCCGCTGTGCACGTTGAACCGCGCATAAACACACCTAGAGCAGCTATAGGTGGCATGGTGATGTCTTGTTTTGCATCTGCATGGTCGGTGGCGATTAACGACATGGTCCAGGGCTTGTAGGCAGAGTCGGGAATCCCGCCCCCCCTCCGCCCCATTCCGCCCCATGCAGATGCAACACGAAGACAGCCTTTTCCTTCACCAGAACTCCTACCAAGACCAAAAAACTGGCACGGTGGCAGTGGCGCGTGCCATGTTTGCTTCATTCTCGCCGTGCGCAATGTCAGACAGAATTCACCGTATCCAGATCGATGCTGAACATGCGCTCGCCGCTACTCCTGACTCCCAGCCCCCGGGCCACGAACTGAATCGACTGGAGGTCGAAGGATTGACTCGTCGAACTCCGCAGGTTTTCGAGGGTGTCCTTGTCCAAACCGGGCCTGCGCAGTTCAAACTTAGGGGATGCAGCATGTGTTGAATCGCCAGGGCAACTTGTAGTCACTGTATTTCGTTAGTCAAAGTTAGTATGCGGCAGGCGGCCAAGCCCCACCACGAAGGCCATGATTCGTTGGCTGTATCTTCGTTGCGGTCATCAGTCCTGCTTCTTGCAGGCCACATGCAGACGCAGCCTGCAGCACTCCCGCAGCAGCAAATGCCGCAAGGCCTCTGTCTCAGTATACTCATGGAAGCTCAGTGCATTCAGAAGTGCAAGACTCGGCATGAGTGCTGCTGGCCAAAGTTATCCTTAGTATCGCTCGTTGGAGTTTTGCCTCGAAAGGTGGGACGTGTGTTAAACTGGTCCCAGAATCTGTTGGACACTGTATGCCTGCGAATCATTGCGAAACGTCGAGTAGACGCGACACGGCTGTTTTGTGATTTGACTTCATGTTCCTCGATTAGATACCGCTGTTTTGTTGAAGCTGTGTTCCAAGTTTTTCACAAGGTCCACTCACACCAATGCTGGTCATGTAAATGCCTGTTGAGTGCAGCTGCCTGTGCAGGCCCGCCACCTTTCCAGTCGCAGCCCGCGAAGCTTGCTTGCAAGACATGCACGATTTTCCATGAGCGACGAGATGTACATCATATCGTATCATATCACTTATTATACCACATTCTTTCATATCATGTCATGTAGGGTTTGTGGCCCGGTGTGTTCTTGACTTGTCGAGTTTTTTTCCGGGCTTGTAACAGGCGCCGCGGGGTCCCTCCGCGACAAAGGTTTGTAGCAGACGGGCCGTGTCCGCGACAACCCCCCCCCCGCGAAAAGGCTACAACCCCCCCCCCCCCCCGAAAAAAGACAGCAATACCATTGAATTTTCTCATTGCCAATCTCGATGCGACCTTGATGTGTGTCTGCAACTTTCACTCTCAGTCCGCGACAAGGCCTGCGACAGGGCGCGACATACCTGCGACAACCCGCGCGACTGCTCGAGCCACCAGGTGCCCATCCGTAGGACAACCTTGAACGAGAAGCCCAGGGTTTATATTTACAGGGTTCAGGGTTTAATGGCTCTCCGGTAAAATCGCTGCGGTCCTTAAACCCTTCATCCGAAACCCCAACCCTAAACCTAAGCCCTTTACCCTAAACCCTTACAAAACCAAATAAGAAAATTGGGTTCAAAGTAGCGGCGCGACAAACGTATGAAAGAACCTGCCCGCGACAAGGCTTGTAACAGAGGGGGTGGGGGACCCCCCGCGACAACCCGAATTTTGACCCACTCCCGACTTGTTGGCGACTGTGCCACAGTGCCACTAGAGGAAAATGGCCCCGAGACAAAACAAGTCTACAATCCAGGCAGGTTCGTTGGGTCTCGACACGCTTTTCTCTCCTCCAATGTCTTCTAGTATTTTGGCGTGTTTTTGTTGGTTTTTGCTGTTGGGGTAGCCACGACCAACCAAACCTCCCATTCGCACCATCTTTTGGGGCCCTCAAGTCAGGTGCACATTTAAGAGGCAGACCCAGATATGTACTGATGTACGCCAGGCGGGTTGATGTTGGTCATTGTGTGTGGAGTACTGGCTTTTGTACCAGTAGGTGAGACAGGGCCAGCGTGCATCCTATGTAAGTAAGCTCCCTTGAGACCGAGTTTCTAGATTCTTGGCTCTTCTTGCCGAAAGTAGGCAAGTGGGCGAGTGCGGCAGTGGGGCAGGGGAGGGGGGGGGGAGGGGGCGGGGGGCGGCCAGTACGGCAATTCCGCCCCATAGTGGGGTGGACGGAGCAAGTTGTTGGCATTTTTAAATTCAAAAACCAGAAACATTTCTCGCAACCATATCGGCATCAAAGACTGTTTCAGATTCATATGTCCTAAGTCTTTTGGATGTTGACCATGTACAGTCAACATAGTTTTTCTCTGAAAGAAATTTGTTTTTACAGTACTTGTTGTAGAAGTCTATTGTCTTGATATAACCAAAACATGCAAAAAAACAACGCTTCGATACATGCTCAACGAGACAGAGATCTGTCTCGCACATTGCTTAAATTTTTTAAAGTTAAGCAACCACCTGCGAAAATCGCAACAAGACTTCCTGTTTCCTGCAAGTGGCAGTGTGAGTTTCTTGCTTTGGGTGCACAAGCACAGAGCCTTTAATGAAAGTGTTATCCTTTTTTGACAAGTTTTACAGACTTCTGATTGTTATGGTTGAAAATCATACGATTTCCCAGTTGGTTTTCTATTCGCCATTTCAGCTCTTGTCCAACTAAAGAAAAATCTGCATTAAGTTCTTGTCAGGTGCTATGTTGGAAAAAGGGGCATGGTGAAAGCATGTCGTGGCCACGGCTGATGGAGCGGGGCACCCTGCATTAAGACTCTGTGAATTGCGATTTTTCCGCTAAGACCCCGGGACGGCATTTACAGACCCACAGGCCAAACAATTCTCAACGGACAAAAAAACTCAGTATGCCGAGCCGGCATCTGGAGCCTGAGGTCGAATGTGTCGATTGTTGGTGCAGCACGAAGCCCGAAAGAAGCCGTCTCGAAACACCGTCTGAATTTTGCAGGTTCAATGTCTAAGGATGTGTAAGTTGTTGCAACCCGAGCTAAAGCTAAGGGCTGGCTATCCAATGTCTCACATGCGGTGAGACACGGTGTGAGCGTCGCAAGGTGCCTTTGCGAAACTGTAGCTAGGGCTGCAGACTTCAAAACAGAAGGCATGGCTGAAAGATATATGTAAATGCCATGTACCTGTATTGTACAAAGATGTGCCATGTGGGCAGGTGCACAGCCTGGCTCCACTAAGACTTGCAAATGCTTCCCGATGCACGCTTGAATTAGGAAAGGCCTTTGTTTGCTTGTCCAAGTTCCAAGTTGCCAAGGGTGTCTCTCAAAGTCGCTCGATGTGAGTGCGCCAACGTTTCCATAACAATGACTTGTTTGCTTGGTCCGTTGAGCCTGCACGAGACTGCGCAGGCAGCATCTGACAGCATGATTGTTTCTTTTAAGCTTGAACTAAGCGTCACCCCATCCCAGTTTAGTTGAGTCTCTGCAGGCCAGACCCGCACTCAGCATGCAATGATCATCAATCAGTACCTTCACAACAATTTGGAACATGAACTGCGGTATATTGTGGTACACTGTGGCAGCAATGCGTTTTTCCGCAATGCCATGGCGGCTGGCTTGGTAGCATCCTCGGATCTGCTCCTGACTGCGCTGGTTGGCAGTGTAATGGCAAGGATGCGGATGGATCTCGTGTTCATCGTAGGTGAGTCATCCTCAACGGATTTCCATGGGTATATCTTCCGGTGTTGAAGCCTCCATGAACTAGCTGAAATCGAGGCCGCAGGTTGTGCAGGCCCATAGACCTATCCCCGAACTGTAACAAGAAGACTCGGAGAATTCAGCAGCGAAAGGACAGAAACCCCAACTCGACAGGCCCAACATCTAAACTGAGGATGCGATCCCAAACAGACAGGTAGTGTGGCAATGGGGTCGTTTTGGAACGAAGAAGGTGCAATAAAGTGCGCAATCATGTTCGAATATCCCACTGACGGACGTCTGAGCTCCCGAATTTGCTGGCTAAAGCCGGTGCCGGAGCCGAGGTGCACACAGCAAAATGATGCAAAATGCACAGCGTCTCAGCACTTTTGCGGAGGTGCTGTGAAACGCTATGAAACCTCTGTCTTCACGACTTTGGTTGTGGCCGAGGCAAACAGTTAAGTCATGAATGATCTTCAACTCCAAGAATGACAGAAAACTACCTTTGCATTTGCAATCGAAAATCGCATTCGTTAATGGTTTGTATCTTTGGACTTTTCATGTGTGCATGCACCATGCATGCCCTTGCGCGCACGGTGGCATCTCAATTTCGGCATGCGCCACATAAATCACATCCCATCCCCGTCGGATTTTGCACGGCGACGCATCTCACAATCTCAAGCCCTTCGATGCGTGCTGACAAAACCAGAGTGTTCCAGTTCTGTGTGCAGATGAATCAGATGAACTCTTTTTGGCTATTGAGTTCCATTTGTATGATCTGCTGCCCAGATAGCTCGTGCAGCCCGGGCATCCTCGATTGATGCGGAGGTTGAGGTGCCAGCTTTGTGTAAGCTTTTGGACTCTGAAAAACTGAGCCTTGCTGAGCCTTGCTAAGCCTCGCGGAGCCTCGCGGAGCCCCGCTCTGATGCTTGTTGCAGGCGTGCCTGCAGAATGCCACGTCCCTTTTGGATGAGGCGCTGTCCTGATGAAACCTGCCAACGTCGAAAAGTGGTGTCGAGCCTCCATGCTGCACTGCAAAGGCTGAACTAGAAAGAATCTCAGAGCAACTAATTCTTGCTGTGAGATGTCTTGAGGCCCGGAGCATGCCTGGATCCTTGCCAGCAAATCCGGACTGATTCGGGTCTTCAGCCATGTCTTGAAATCTCTCTCGTTTGGAGCGGAACTGCAGATGCATTGATTGCAGCTTTTTGTTGGAGGAGTTCGTCATCCTGGAGGGGTTCCAATGCTTGGTGCGGCACGTCCTTGCAAGTTCCTCAACATCTTTCGTAACAGCTTGCCATGTGTGTAGCCATCCCGCAGAGGCTCAACGGCCTGAGGTGGGAAGACACTTGCAGCGAGCAGTGCGCCCTCCGTTTAGTGCATGTCGCAGAACTGTGCTCAAGTTTGCATCCGACCGGCGGATGTCAGGAAATCCTTTTTGATGCTGCCTTGAAGCTCAAGAAGTGCCGAGCCTAATATGTTTGCAACAATCAGACATCCCCTGTCAATCGGTTGAAGTTCCGACCGGGACCGAGACGTTTGTTTAGCTCACGTAAAGAATTCAGATGAGCTGTGTTGTCGTGCGACAGTCGTCTTCTTTCATGCCTTTCATGTGTTAGCCCCCAGTGAATGGCCAGCGCTCCGAGGTCGTCTCCTCGTGCTCTGATGGGAAAGGCCTGCGTCAGGGCAAGCCGCCGGGACTGGAAGCAGGCGGTGGGCCGGTGGGAGTCCGTTGGCAACAAGTCGAAGTTACTGTACGTCGCCGGAGATGTCAGTTGGTGCAGAGTGCAACAAGACCATTCCGTCAAGGCCCTGGATTATTTTAGAAGAGTGCTGCAGCGCGCAGCACCTCACGCGCCGCAATCTGGAGAACATCTCCAAGTTCTCAAGGAGGCATGGGGATGGCGCTTCTCAGTGCTCTGCGGCTACTCATTTGACATACCGTGATACTTGCTCGAAGCTCGCCTGTACCTGATGTAACTGTCGCAGTTGCGCTTTGCCTTAGCAACTTGCTTTGCTGGCTCGCACCTCAGTTACGAAGTGCACTATCCCCACATGGTCTATCTGCAAGACGCCAGCAGCGATGGTACGGGATGGTGCGGGGTAGCGACGGTTAGCGATGATGATGTTGTAACTCTGTGTTCCCCCCCCCTCACCCCCCCTTGCCAGCTTTGTTTCTCCCTGCTGCTCTGGATGTGCAGCGTTCCGCTTTTGTGCTAGTGAGAGTGATACATCGTGTCTTTGTATCCACGCTGAGTTGAGGGAACAAGGATGAACGGTATTGTATGTAGTGGAGTATGCCTGCAATGCCACTTACGTTTGTAGAGCAGCGGGGTCCTCAACAGTACGTTTCTTGGCGCCAAGGCCTAGGACGATACCAACAGGCGAAGAACGCCCTGTTGGGTGTAGCTGCGGCCTTAAGGTTATCTGACGCTGAGTCCTCTGGAAAATGGAGTTTTGCGATGTTTTGCGTTCTGCGCTGGCTGCAGGTGGCTGCTGACGCAAAGGACGTCGAAGCCTTGTGTGCCTTGGCTTACTTGGAGTCCAAGCCGGACCAGGCAGGATTTCGCACATGCGAGAGTTCTGGCTCGTGCCATTATGTCCAGATGCATGTTTAACGAATAAGCAAGAATTGCCAGGGCAATGAAGGAAGGCAGCGCGCCGCCACACACATGGCGGAGGCCATGCAAGCCGATCCGCCATTTGGTTGCAACATGTTGCATAGCATGGCTGGCAGTTGGGTTTACTGTTCACATCCCCCATGTTGGAACAAGGAAACTTAGAAAGCCAACACAGAACGAAACAGACGAACGAGTCGAGTCGGGAACTGCTCACAAGATGCAAGAATGGAACCTAGCGGCGATCCGTCTGAAGAGCCAAATGCCAAGACCGGGTTCGCATACCATCGTCGAACAGCACGAATTCAGCTCCAACCGTCCAGAGCTCTCCACTGTTTGAGCATCTGCTTGAGCATCTGCAAGCCAAGGGCGCATCCTGCCGCTTGCATCTCAGTTTTGCGACTGGAACCGTGAGATCTTATGCATGGGTACGCGGCTACGAGGCTATGCGGCTATGAAGGCTACGCGGCTTATCCTGAGGTTCTGTGCCGAGCTGCTGACCACGCGTTTGCATGTGGTTTAGAGGACCGCCAATATCGACCAACCAAATGCCTTGAGAGAGATCTTAAACTTGCCCCGGTTGCGATCTGGCAGGAGGCAGGTCCTGGCGAGGCCGATGCGCAGATTGTGTGATTGAGGGAGTTGAATGCAGATGATTGTTTGTTTGTTTTTTCATTTTGTTTTCTTTGTGTGGGGTGGGGGGTGGGGGTCTCGGGTTTTCCTCTTAAAATACACAGGAAATAGAGGGTTTTCCTACTGTAAAGACATTCGGGAAATATAGGGAAATACAGAAAAAAGACGAAAGCAAGACATAAATGAGGACAACGAAAAAACACAGACAAAGAACATTAAAAACAACGAGTAAAAGAAGAATCAAGCAAGAATAAAGACAGAAGAAATTGCGTAACTCAACAAAGATCAAACGTTGGATGTACTCTTGCTTTGTACAGAAAAGGTCATGCCATAAAGAGGACTTGCGTGAAGAGCAGAACATGCGAATGCTTGTCCAAACCTGTCATCCGAGAATTGTTTTTGAAATGTGTGGCCTGCGCACCCCTCAGCCTCCCCGCCCCCCCAGTGATTTAAGCCTTGTAGCTTGCTAATAAGGTCATGCGTCATGCCGCAAAGAGGACTCGCATTCAGAAATCATGCGAATCCTTCTCCAAACCCGTCATGCGAGAATTGCGTGTTGCAAATGGATGGCCTAGGTTTTGTTGTTTCAGTTGTTTTTCGCTGTTTCTTTGGTTTTTTCCTGAGTAAACCTGTATTTCCTCCTTTTTTCGTCGGAAAACCTAGAATTGCATGCAAACCAGAACGTGTTTCTTATACATACTAGCTACAAGAAGCTTTCTTAGAAATATTTAGACATGCATTCTCCGGGCTTAGTGTTGCGGTTGGACATTGACCCCTCGAATCTCTAATACAGGCCTTTGAGACGCAGGAATGGTATTGATGTTCTCACTTCTCTCTCCCATTCAAAACCGCCATGCTAGTTTGTAGGTGCAGACGTGAATACTCAAGATGTGAGGGCGATAATCCTTAGCAGGCGAACGCAAAGGAGCTACAGTATCATAATGAGAGATCTGATGGTAATACTATGTGATAGAGGTGAAAGAGCCTTATTCACAGAGTTCTTGTGCTCAAGGTGTACAGTACATTTGTTTCCTATCTTTCTACCCTGAGCCAAGAACCCCTTCATATTGAATCCTGGTGATGGAGAGATAGTATTACATTAACCGCTTCATTCATTCACTCTCATAGAGCTACTATTCATGGTGCGTGCGTGCACAAGCGAGTACATAAAACTAAAACAAGTAATGTATTCCCGCGAGAACAAAAGTATTATTCATTGACCCGCGGGTGTACATTATCTTCCATGTAAAATCATTCTATTATCAATTGGGTTGAAAAGTAGATGTCGCATGGGTCACACCTATGGGTCCACTGGTCTAATGGTCTAATGGTCCGGTGGGCCTCTGCCCCGACCCCTGGGCCCCCATCGCCTTTCCCCACCCCTCTGCCCCCAGCACCCTGCATGTTACGGAAACGCAGGCCGAGGCGGGTCGCGTAGCGTTAAAATTAAAGTTTAGCCTCGTGCTTTTCAGCGCAACCGAGGCGCATATATAGCATACATATATGCATATAGATATATATGTAATATGTAAGGGACGCATGCAGCCCCAGGCTCCATAGTGCCTGAGGTACACGGCGAAAAGTAAACTTCATATACATGGGATGTGTGCATTCCTAAGAAAAACCCTCGCCAGGCCACTGGACCATTGGACCAATAGATTGGGCCCACACAAGCGAGGGGGGGGGGGGGTGTGCAGCTTAAATAGGGTCTATTTGGAAGCTGGGACTCGTAGTTACAAGAGGAAAACAGGCCCCAAAACGTATACTTATTCACAAGAGCCATCTTCCAAATAGACCCTATTTTAGGTCCTGTAGGGTTGCACAGATAGAATTTAATTCATTAAATTCAATTAATTAATTTATTTCCAAAGGGGGGCTGAAATTAATTGAATTAATTCAATCAGTTCAATTAATTCAATTATTTCAATTAATTCAATTAATTCATTTATTTCCAAATGGGGGGGATTCCCCAGCCCCCAGCCCCCACCCCCCATTTGGAAATAAATGAATTAATTGAATTAATTGAAATAATTGAATTAATTCAATTAATTCTGAATTAATTCAATTAATTCATGTATTTTCAAAGGGGAGCTGAGGGGGGCCGAAATTAATTGAATTAATTGAATTAATTGAATTAATTGAATTAATTGAATCAATGGAATTAATTGAATTAATTGAATTAATTGAATTAATTGAATTAATTGAATTAATTGAATTATTTCAATTAATTCAATTAATTCAATTAATGCGATTAATTCATTTATTTCCAAATGGGGGGGATTCCCCAGCCCCCAGCCCCCTTTGGAAATAAATGATTTAATTGAATTAATTATATTAATTGAAATAATTGAATTACTTCAATTAATTCATTTATTTTCAAAGGGGAGCTGAGGGGGGCTGAAATTAATTGAATTAATTGAATTAATTCAATTATTTCAATTAATTCAATTAATTCAATTAATTCATTTATTTCCAAATGGGGGGGATTCCCCAGCCCCCAGCCCCCACCCCCCCTTTGGAAATAAATGAATTAATTGAATTAATTGAATTAATTGAAATAATTGAATTAATTCAATTAATTCATTTATTTTCAAAGGGGAGCTGAGGGGGCCTGAAATTAATTGAACTAATTGAACTAATTGAATTAATTGAATTAATTGAATTAATTGAATTAATTGAATTAATAGTTGAAGAATCACGAGCTTCCTTCCTGTAAAGTGATGTATGTATAGTCATGTTATGCAGATCAGGATGGCTTACCTTCTGACCTTTGGCTCAAGATGAAAAAGGGCCGCTCTGAGAGCGGGTTGTACGTAGGGTCGAGGGCTGTGTTGATCCCCAACCCTTTGTGGTTCTCCCTCTTGTTGCCTTGTTCCCTTAGCTCAGGCATCAGAGTTTTGAGTCTTTCAACTGGTTATCAGGTCCGTATTGCTTTCATAGCTAAGACCCTAAGTGTAGCTGCCTGAGAATGGATGGACAGTGAGCAAGAAGGTGCTTTTGAGCCCCGAGGCATCCGGAGCGGCTCCAGTCTCGAGTGAAGGTGCAAGCGCTCCTGCGAGGTGGCTCAGGCGCGTGCAGTCCTTGCTTTTGATTTTCACGGAGTCCTTGACCGTGATATTCGTCAGAGCACAAATTGGCGCGACGATTGCCCAGAGTATCCGGACCGCAACATTCGCTTTTTGCAGAGGTTGAGTCAGATTACGGAGAGCAGGCAGATATTGGTGGTGGTGCTTTCTTATTGCCGTCATTCTGACACAGTAGCTCAAGTTCTCGGCACGAGTTGCAACAGCACTGATCGGCTCATCCGTGAAGCAGGAGTTTCAGTCCTCTCGCTACTTTTTATCACCCGCAAGCCCACGGGTGAATCAGGAAAGCGGGCGCTGCTGGAGAAGGTCTTTGATATTGCTCGTTGTCCCATTGCCATTGTTGACGACAGTGCAGAAGTTGTGGACGAGTGTGCCGGAGCATCATTCATCACTCCGTTCCACATCTCTTTGGCTAAGCGCGGAACGCGAGTTTATCCTCGATCTACGGTGCCCAGTTTTTCTGGTCTGATTGAAGCAGAAGAGTCGCTTTGCAACTGGTGTATCAACTCTGTTCCGAATTCCGAGGAGTGAACGGAGTGCCTGTCCTTGAAGGAAAGTTCGGCGAAGTTTCGCCACATCCTTCCACTGTTGCACCAGTGAACGCCGTGAGCCTCGCCTCTTCCGCCAAAAGAAAGGGTGCGGTGAGCTGCTGCTAACCGCTTCCGCCTCCCATAGCAATGTCTTCTCCTTCTGACCCTAGCAATCAAGCCAGCTCGGTGCTTGATTTGTCAAGTGCTTCAGCCACGGCATTGCCAGGTGGTGTTGGTTCGGATAGTGGTTCGGTTGCTAGTAGTTCAGCAGTTGAGGTCCGTGAAAGGTCCCCTCCTCTGACTAGACAAGCCTTGTCTAGACCTCGCAAAACTCATGAGCACTCAAGCCCTTACCCTAATCTAACCGCTCAAGCCTCATACACACAGAACATCCTGAATGTTGGAGCCTCTCCGCAAGAGGTTTTGGATGCACAGCGTTTAGCCGCAGCGCAAGCAGCGCAACATGTTGCTGATCATGCTGAACAGTTGCATGCCGCAAGGCTAGAGCGTGTTGAGAATGAGGCTAGAGGTTTGGTTGAATCCACCGTTGAGCAAATGCGTGAGCAGTTGCAACAGTACGAACATCGCTATGATGAGATCCTTCAACAGGGTCGAATCTTGGAAGAACAGCTCTCTGTAGCTAAGGCCGAGCTAAGCAAGGCCGAAGCAGAACTTCAGGTCGCTCGTGCAGGGTACCAAGAGCTTGAAGCCGCCCTAACCAGCTGCCGGGGTGACAACAACTTGCTGAACTTCCAAAACACCCAGCTACGTGTCGAGTTGCAAGTCAAAGACCGCGAGATTCAGAGACTTCGCCAGGCTGCTGCAAGCGCCACGAGTCCTGGGTCTTCGCCTCCAACGTCTGCTCCTCGCCAGCCAGATAAGCCGCCGGTACTTGCGTCAAGTGCATGCTCTGGTGGGTTTAGTTGGGTACATAACGGTTCTAATGAGGATAGTAGTGGTGCACCTTCATTGCCGCAAGTTGTCAATGAGTCAGCCGCTTGCCCTCCTGCGACCGTCCCTCCTGCGACCGTTACCGATCCTCGTGTTGATCAGTGTCGTACAGCAACTGCTTGCCCAAAGAAATGGCACGGATCCAGGATGCAATGATGCATCTCCTGTTCATGAGATCGAAGAGCCTGAAAGGCAAGAGAAGCACATTGTTGACAGCCGAGCTTTGTTACATCTCAAGCTTGAGCCGGTTCCTTCCGACGCTGCTGGTTTCCGAGCCTGGAAAAACTCGTTGTTGGTCCAGATTGCCAAGCTTGACATGTCAGGCGAAGGTTTGGTTGTTGCATGGTTGTCTCGGTCTTTCACAGCTGAAAAAGAAGAGCTTACTGAATCAGGTCTTCTTCCTCGCCTTGAT